TGAGACAAGGGCACTAACTTTTTGTGCCTAATCGCCCCATTGAAGTTGTTAACTTCTAAGTGAAACTGAAGGCATTTCTCTAGAGAACAGAGCAGCTGTGAGCCAGTATTCACAGCAGTAGGGGACAGGTACGATGCCTAGTAAAGGGGATCTGCGCAGGGCACACACCCTCTACTAGAATCAACAGGCAACTGCAGCAACCCATTAAGAACATGTCTTCTGAAAGGAAGCAGTAGAAATAGAAACTGTAGGTGCGGGGATAACTGAAATGGCAGATTCTCTGAGGAAGCCAAGGCTATGGGATTCTCAGCACAGGCAAAGATTTTGACCTTGAATGAATGCGACTCTAAAAAATTTTTTTTCTTTATTGATTTGAGAGAGAGGAAGGGAGAGAGAGAGATAGAAACACTGATGAGAGAGAACACCGACTGGCTGCCTCCTGTATGCCCCCACTAGGGATCAGGCCCACAACCTTGGCAAGTGCCTGACCGGGAATTGAACTGGCAACCTCTTGGTGCATGGGTCGACACTCAACCACTGAGCTACACTAGCTGGGCTAATGGGACTCTTTATCCTCTAAAACTAGAGAGAATGAAATTTGTATAAAATTAGTGGTTTTATGCAAATTTATAAGCAAAGGGTGAAGAAATTAGAAATTCACCTAAATTTTATTGATAGCCTACTATTAATACATGTCTAGCATATCTTAGTGTCTAGGAAACTAATATGTTTTTAACTTTTTTCTTCTTTATTGATTTTTAGAGAGAGAGGAACGAAGAGGGAGAGAGAGAGATAGAAACATCTATGAGAGAGAACATCGATTGGCCACCTCCTGCATGACCACCACTGAGGACTGGGCCCATAACCTGGGTATGTGCCCTGACCAGGAATTGACCTCTTTGTGCATGGGTCAACACTCAACCACTGAGCCACACCGGCCGGGCTGGGAAAGTAATATTTTAAAAGACAGTATAAAAGAGCTTAATGTCTGATAAATTGTCAGATATACAACACTATATGGACCATGGAACAAAGAAGGGGTGAGGTCAGGGAGTTTCCCTGAGGACATGTTATCTGAGAAGCAAAGAATTAGCCCCCTAATGTTGGCAGTGGTGATGGTTCTAAGCAGAGCAAAAGCGATCGTATACAAGAATACATGGAGATGACAGAAAATGTACCATGCTGAAGAACTGAAAGACGTTCTGGGCCAGGGGTGGTAACAAAACACAAGGCAGAGCAGTAGCCAGACATCAGCATAATGGGAAACCATATAGGGTTTTAAGAATACATACATGACCAGATGTTTGGTCTTGGAATATAAATAGGGCCATAATGTCCAAATCTGAAGGAGTAAAAGGTAAAGTCGTCTGCTCACAGTGAAGATAAGCACTTGAGAAGAATGACAAAGGCTTGAAATACAGCTGACTCTTTTTTTCTTTTTTTTTGTTAATCCTCACCAGAGGATATTTTTCCCACTGATTCTTAGAGAGAGTGAAAGGGAGGTATGGAGGGGGAGAGAGAGAGAAACATTGATATGAGAGAGACACATCCATTGGTTGCTCCTGCATGTGCCTCAACAGGGGATGATCAAACCTGCAACCCAGGTGTGTGCCCTTGACCAGGAATCAAACCTGAGACCCTTCAGTCTATGGGCCAACACTTCTATAACTGCTGAGCCACACCAACCAGGGCTACAGTTGACTCTTGAACAACATGAGTTTGAATTACCTGGGTCCATTTACAGGTGGATTTTTTTCAATAAACACAGTCTGTTATTTGCATCACCAGATTTGACCAACCACAAATCAAAAACAGTATTTTCACATCCCAACCACAGATCAAAAATATTTTTTTCCATCCGCAGTTGGTTGAGTCCGTAGATGCAATGAGCTGACTGTAGTTAAATGTTGGGGGAGTCAAAAGTTGTACACTGATTTTTCAACTTAGCAGGAGTCGGCATCCTTGATCTCCATGCTGTTTAAGAGTTAACGGTAAATTGGTGAAAGAATGGGAAGTGGAGTACATGATAGCCCAGATTGATACTAAAACCTGGAATTGGCTATAGTATCAATCTGCACAACAGAACTCAGCCTCCTGGATATTCATAAAACTTATATTTATTGCACCCATTTCAAGCCAGTTACAACATCCAGGAAGATGCACAATAGGCGAAGGACCCAGAATCGGTCATTTGAAGAGTGGATACAGTGATAGGATAAAGAAGCAAAGATGTTGAGCATGCTGAGTGTCCAAGCACAGGTTTTAGTATGAGCAGGAAGTAGAGGAAGCCCAGGAGAAGGCAGATCCATTAGGAGAAAAATGTAGATGTCAAGGGAATAGAGGTCTGTGACACAAACTTCAGGGAGAAATGAGAAAACTGCTAAAACAAACAAACAACAAAAAAAAACCAAGCAAGGAATCGAGGGCAGGAGAAAGGCTGTGTTAGTGAAAGTTAAGAGGTTTTACATTTGTGAGTTTTAAGAATATGAAGTGGGAGGTAAAAAGCAACATAGCGATTAATACAAATCACTGAACTGAGTTCAAGGAACGTGAGGCCGGATGCTGGATGCTAGGCATCTTACATGACTTAGAAGTTGTCTTGGAGAACATGAGCCAGACTGGGGAAAAGTCTCCAAATTGGGAAAGGTCTCCAGCTAAACATTTCTCCTCAAGTGTGTCTTGCTGGCATTTCAAGTACAGAAGGAAGGCACTACACCATGTGAATTTACATCTTCTGGCCTTGCCATGATTTTGAATCCTTACTGATAATCTGAGCACCTGGCTCATATTCTCTAGATGACAACTTCTAAGTCAGGGACAAGAGCCAGGCATCTCAGATTCTTCGCAGTATCAGAGGCCTTGAGGAAGAAGCTATCGTACTGAAATTCATGGACGTTCTTGCTTATACGACCATAACCTGTGGGAGCAGGAGTGCTTTGGTGTATCTACAGCAGCCTTCTGTGGGGAAAAAAGATGGCAAAATAAAACAGATGCTGACTTGAAAAAACAAAAAAGTTGGGTAGAAAATAGCCACAAATCTTGTGTTGTTTCTGGCAAAAAGACAGAGGCAATCTCAATTGATTGGCGTCTAAAATATAACCAGAATTCCCTTATTTAGCCCCTAGATTTAAATTTTTATTTTACAATTGTTATCTAACAGAACACTAGAGAACTAAAGATTCAGGAACAAGTATAGTTTTGTCTTTAGTTTTGATAATTCCAAACATAAAGATTAATGACCAAGTCAGTCATTTGCCATTTGAAAATCCCTATATAAATGTTGTATATTAAAATCAAAATAACAATGAAAAAATATATAAGACAGTAACCTGTCTTTATGACCTACTCTTTACAAGATAAACATTATCCTGATCTGTTAAGTTCAATTTTCTACCTTCTTTTCTGCAAAGCCATTTTTTTTTTTTTTTTTTTTTTTTATCACTGAGCTTTCCTGGTCTACAAAGGGACCACAAAATTAGGCTGTTCCTGTGCATAATCAGAGAACATTAAATAGCTCCTTTGGAACCATAATGCTTCCTGGAATGCTAATACAGTTGCTATATCACAGAATGAGGTAAATGCAGTGACTCCTACCTAAAGATATCATTGAGGATACCAATAACACAAAATCAAGTTTTAAAAGTTGTGAGGAAAGGGAAAGATATTTAACGTTATATTTTTAGAATAGGACAATAAGCAAAATAACATAATAAAAGAGCTTGAACATTAATGACTTGATAGCACTGGTACTTTACATTGTGTGTTCCTTTGTGCCTGCCCTTTTTGTTACTTATCTCTAAAACTAGTGCACTAAACTAAACAACTGTAAGATTGTTTATTTATAAAGTATTATAGTTAGTAGGTATATATTATACTTTACATATAACCATAAATAGTAATGGTATATATTCGTACTTATTTAAAATATTTATTATTTCCATATATGTAAGTACCTAGTAATTTCCTTTCCTTTTTAACAAACAAATCAGTTTTGAATCCTTAATCTCTTGGAAGGAAGTTTTAAGTGGTAACAGAATTTGTTAAGTTTTTTGTTTACAGAACTTGGATTGAAAACTACTCAGAACCCACGTTTCCGTACATTCTTCCGACTGGACAAATACTGCTTCCTCTGGCTCTTAAGTGCGGACTCCCTTCCCGAGATCACGGAGATTACTTCGTTTACCTTCTCTCCAGTGTTAAACAAATCTGGAGTTTTTGTGAAAATGACATTAGTTGGAGAAGATACTTAAATTAGCATATTCTTCTGTAGGTCACAGGTCCATAACATTGTAAATCCCTTGCTGGGAGAGGGCCAATCACCTTTGTAGCTCCCACAAGATGCAGCAAAGCACTTTTTAAGTACCAATTACTGCAACGGTTCAATAAATGTCTGCTAGAAAAACCAGCGAATAAAGGCGCAACAATAAAATGTGGACGCACTGAGGGACGATAAAAGGCACCAGACCAAAAGCTAGGCATCACATTCTCCTCCGTACCGAGCACCGTACCTGGGCCCCAGATTTTACTCGTAAATCTACTCCCTAGCAGTGACCTAGGGGCCGGTCCCTCAACCCGGCCCGGGCCGACCGGGATCCTTCCCGTCCTCTCCCGGACCACCCTCTGCTTTTCCTTCCAAACTTCTTCCCAGCCTGGTCCGGGGAACCAAGCCTCGAGGGGTACCCAGACACCGGCCGTCTCCCCCGCGCCTCGCGAAACCTGCCTCGCCTGGAGAAGTTGCGAGCACAGGGAAGCGTAGCCTAGCGACCGCAGCCTCCCGCGCATGCTCTCTGGCTTGACCTGGGTCTCGGTGAGACCCATCAGAGTGAGAATCCACTTCTCCAGATTTTGGAGGCGACCTGGAAGAATCGGCACAAAAACACCAGCTCCGCAGAGGTGGAAAGGGCCTGGCGGTAACGGAGAGCCAACAGGAAGAGGCTGCTCACAAAACCCGGAAAACTCTTCCCGATCCACTCTGCTGGCTTCCGAGCCACCCCAGACATGCGCAGTAGCCTCCCGGCGTCGGCAGCGGCGGTGGCGGCGTCTCCAAAGCCGGAAGGTTCGACTTCAGGCCGGGGGCTCGACACGTCGTGGGTTATGTCGGCCCAGGGTGACTGCGAGTTCCTGGTGCAGCGAGCCCGGGAGCTGGTGCAGCAGGACCTGTGGGCAGCCAAGGCTTGGCTGATCACGGCCCGCAGCCTCTACCCCGCCGATTTTAACATCCAGGTGAGGTCAGGCCCAGAGTGCAGCCGCCTGCGCGGAGGTGTGAGCGGCGCGCAGCGCCCGGCTGCCGGGGGTTGGCCGCCTCCTGCCCCGCCCGCCCTGCCCTTTCCCGCTTCTCTGTACCTCCTTCGGCCCCACTCTCCCACACCTTTCTCAGGCCGCCTCCCTGCGAGGCCGGCACCTGGAGACCCAGCGAACCTCGCTGGAGGTCGGGCCTGGTAGGGGGCGTGGCATGTGTTATACTGTTGTGTGGCCCCGACAGCACTTCAGCGCCACCAGGAAAGGCCATTCGGCCGTTCATTCATCATGATGGCAGCCATTTGTTCACTGCCTGCTACTTTTAAGACATTATTCCACTAATCCCGGGAACCCAGGGATTGTAAATGGGACTGAGGTCACAGTCCTAAATCCTGTGGCCCTGTGTCACCAACCAGGTGATACTTACTCTCGGGCACACCATCCCCCAGCGGGAGTGAGGGCTTGCTCTGTGAAGGCCCACTGGCCATGCAGGCGGCGAGCTCTAGCAGCCTCAGCGGAGGTTGTGACCGGGTCTGATCTGTGTTACAGTATGAGATGTACACCATCGAGCGGAATGCAGAGCGGACTGCCACTGCAGGGAGACTGCTGTACGACATGTGAGTGGGGACTCTGGACTTCAGCTTTTACTGGACTGGATCTCTCCTGAGGTTTTATTTCTGTCTGTGGAGTGGGCCTTGGGGGAAGAGCTTCAAATTCATCTGCATCCCTGGTGCCTAAAGCTTATTTAGACATGAATCTAGTCCTTCCATTAATTGCTGACATGTCTTCTGCAGGGAAGTCTTATGTTTCTTGTTAAAACTTTGCTGTCCAATAATTTATTTTATTTTGGAAATAATACATGCTCTGGGTAAAAGTTGAAACAATACTGAACTATACACAATAAAAAATGAAAGCCCCCCCCCCCCCCACTCAACCAGAGTTAAGTTTTGTGTGTGAGGATAGTACACATACATACAATGTAGATAATAGGTTGGAGGGGATTACAAAAGCAAGATCATACTGATTATTCTGCAGCTTGCTTTCTTCACCCACTGTAAGGGATCCGTTTCCATGTTAGCAGGTCGCGATCTGCTCCATTCTTCATGTCTGCATAGCACTTCATCACCACTCTTTTATTAGTAGTTTCCAATTATTTGAAATTACAGTGTCAATAGGCAGTTTTGTACCCATATTTTGATGTTTTCTCTAGAATAGATTCTACATGGGTTTTCATAGTGAAAGTATGCACATTTAAAATTTTGATACACTGTCAAATTACTCTCCCAAAAATACTGTTTCAATTTACATTTCCACTAATGATGTACAGTCTGAGTACCCATTTTCTCACACCTTTGCCAACAATGGATATTGTAAGACTTTCTATCAGTTTACATTTTTGCCAGTGTGATAGGAGAAAAATACTATTTATATTTTTAAAAATTTTGTCTCCATTGTATTACTAATAAACCTAAGTATATTGTCAAATGTTCTCTTTGGCTATTTGTATTTTTTCTGTGGTTTGCTTTTGCCCACTCTTTCTTTGGGTAGTTTTTTTCTTGTTGCTATTTAGAAGTATTTACATATTATAACTTATTTTTTTCACCTATAAAAATCTATAAAAACTTTTGTGGGTACCCTCATTTTTAAAAATTAGTTTTTATTTTTACATCTTTATTTTGGCTTGTTTTGGTATATTAATGTATTCACTTGGAATAATGAAAAATGTGTTTTTATCCAAATGCTAATGTTATTACGTTCTTTGTTGGATACTATATAGAATCTGACATTTTAATTTAATGCATTCATTTTAAAACTAGGTTTGTGAATTTCCCAGATCAGCCGGTGGTATGGAGAGAAATCAGCATTATTACATCAGCATTAAGGAACGATTCACAGGATAAACAAACCCAATTTTTAAGAAGTAAGAATGGAGTAATAACGGTGTATAAATTATCATTTCTGGAATACCAAGTTAAATATAGTAATTTCATAAAAAGTCACATTTGTAGTATTGGTACCTGTCTGTATGTTTTATTCTTGGCAACTGAAGTCTGTACAAATGATGTCAGTTGGTCCCTGAAGCATTTGCTTAGAATCCTGTAAACTTCCTTAAAGTATGTGGATTTATCAGTTAGCCCAGGGAACTGAATACATTTTTAACAGGTTTTATAGTAATCAGAAAGCATCTGTATATTAGGCAGATCTCCACAAAACAGGAAAGAAACTTTTAATAATTTATAACTTTTCTTTAAATCTTTACTGTGTATTGGTTGCTACAGCCAATCACAGATTTCAAAATCTGGATAAAAAAGTAGACAGTTTGCCCTGGCCGGTTTGGCTCAGCGGTTAGAGCATCGGCCTGCGGTCCTGAGAGGCCCGGGTTCGGTTCCCGCTAAGGGCACGTACCTCGGTTGCAGTTTGTCCCCAGCCCTGGTCGGTTGTGCGGGTGGCAACCACTCGATGTGTCCCTTCACATCGATGTTTCTCTCTCTCTCTGTTCCTCTCTCTCCCTCCCACTCTACCTGAACAAAGAATGGAAAAATGTCCTCAGGTGAGGATTAAAAAAAAAAAAAAAAAAAAAAAGTAGACAGTTTATGTCATTTCAACTTAAACAAGTACATGTTCTTTATCTCAGCCAGCAACAGGCACTGTTGTGACTCTTCACATATATCATTCTTGTCTTCTGGATCCCAAAAAAGGAAGTTTTTATGGTCATTCATCTTGTACCCAATACAATCTGACTCAAAAGCCGTCCAGGTTGTAGGTGAAACCTAACAACAGTGATTCTTCATGTAATATTTACTATTCTACATATAAAAATGCCTTATTTCTACTTTTGCTTCAATGTTCTTTTTGAAAGAAACTTTTTAAAATGTAATGTATTGTGTACAGGTTTATTTGAAACTCTTCCTGGTCGGGTCCAGTGTGAAATGTTACTGAAAGTTACAGAACAATGCTTCAACACATTGGAACGATCAGAAATGTTGCTTCTACTTTTGAGACGCTTCCCTGAAACAGTTGTGCAACATGGGGTAAGGTTTGATTTTTTTCCTTTTTTTTAAGAGAAAATAAAATTCATCAGCAGATTCATCAGTATGGTTAGGAGCTATAGTGGATATTATTGTAAAGCAGAAATTCTGAGGAACACTGGATAAGATTGAATTTAAATCAAGGAATCTTTCTCAGTAAAGCTAAAAGGATGTCACTGTTAGCAAACTATGAATTTCCAAGAGAAGTTGTCTTATCAGTGTAAGGAAGCAGTCACCAAGCTTTGACAGTGCTATTTATTTGAAGTCTATGCAGTGAAGTCAAGTTGTTGTTTTTTTAATAAACTCATTCCATTGTATTCAACAATGTGTTTGAATTTTAATGAGAGCCATAAAAATTCTTAACACACATGTTTTTCATGTGTTTTTGCCCTGTGGACTCTGTTTTCTCTCTATTCATGCCTTTCCTTATATCCATAAATAATTGATTGCTACTGCCAGGCATTGGGAAGTGTTAGGAATCTCCTGTTCTCCACAGACTCCTTGAGGTAGGTAGTATCCACTTTACAGATGAGGAAACTGAATCTTATGTTAGTAACTTCCCATAGCAAGTAAGTGAGAGAGTCAGGGTTCAAATCATTAATGCTTCCTCCCGCTTCCTAGCTTTTGGTTGTTACTGACAATCTTTGTCATTCCTTGGCTTGCAGCTATATCATTCCAATTTCTGTCTCCATTGTCACGTGGTCTGCTTTCCTGTGTGTCTGTGTCCCTCTGTCTTTACATGACCTTATTATAAGGTCATTGGATTTAGTCCCATGCTAACTTATTATGACTTCATCTTAACTAATGGTATCTACAAAGAGCTTACTTTCTCATAAGGTAAAAATCTATATAAAGTCACATTCTGAGGTTCTGGGTGGACATGAATTTGAGGGGTAGGGAACACTGTTCAACCCAGTACACTTCCTGATCATTACTCTGACTTTAATCTTTCTATGTTGTGTAATCTTTCACATTGTTCCATCCTAACCTTGTGCATCCCAAGTGGTTGCAAGGAATATAATACAGATATCTTGGTGGGTTTTGATAAACTGACTCTCTACTATTGTAGGGCATCAGTAATGGAAAGGTGGCCTTAAAACTCTAGCCGTTCTGCCCAGCTTAGCCGAGGCTGTATGACTGGCTACTCCAGACAACTCTTGAAAGTGATACATTTCATCTACATAACACATCTTGGTAGAAATAGTAATGTTCGTTTCCACATTTCTTAGAAAATCTCTATATCTCTGTTATTCTAACTCTAGTTCCAGTGCATCCTTTAAGTTTCTTACATGTTTTGTTAGTGTTTTAATTTTATCAATTCAGAGGAAAATAACCCAGATAAAGTGGTCTGTGGTCAGATAATTGGGGATTCCTTTCTGGGCTGTGTTGCTAGTGTTATTTTTTTTTTTAGTCTTTAAAATGAGAATATTTGTTTCTTAGGGAAGCTTGAATATACAAACTATGTGGTAAATTTTAAAATACCCTATTTCTTCATGTAATTCTGACATCTTAAACCGTAATACATTTAAATGACTAAATGTATTTTGAAACAGGTCGGCCTTGGGGAGGCACTGCTAGAGGCTGAAACTATTGAAGAACAAGAATCTCCTGTTAACTGCTTTAGAAAATTATTTGGTAAGAAAAACTGTGTTTTTTCTATTAATTCCTTACGGTAAATAGAATATGCAGGGATAAGAATTATTTCAGAGATCAGGCGATTGGTAAAAAGCAAAAGAACTTTTCATATTATGAAATTTAAATCCTTGGTTTATGTTTTGTTTTTGTTTTTTCAGTACAGAAAGCATTTTAAACAACTTCAAAATTTTTATTATGTAATATTTGATATCTTCAAAAGAATATGTGTGACTGTATATTTAAGTATGAAGCATAATAACAAACAAACATCTGAATTACCACCCAATGAAACAGCTAGACTCTCACCCACAATAGAGAATCTGCCTGTGTTTCCTCGATGATTCCCCCCTGGTGTGCCTCTGCCCTGCAGTTTTCAAATAAATGTGCCATAAAGGTTTTTCCCCCTGTACATTTTAGGGACTACATTAAATGAATTCAAAAATAAATTTTGTTTTTGTCAGAACCCTGGGATAGACAACTGTTTTCTTCTTATTTTTCCTCTTCAACAGTTTGTGATGTTCTTCCTCTAATAATTAACAACCATGATGTTCGATTGCCTGCCAATTTATTATACAAGTACTTGAACAAAGCAGCTGAATTTTATATCAATTATGTCACTAGGTCCACTCAGATAGAGAGTCAGCATCAAGGTAAGTGGGAATGTCCTAAAATTTTGTGTAGACAAACTTTAATAAAATTGCAAAGTCAGAAAACCCTCATCATTCTGATTATTCTCCTCTGGATGCATACCAGTTTGATTGTGTTTCTAAAAGATGGTTTCTAGAAAAAAAATATAAACTATAGTTAATAGAGGAGACTTTTCTGGAACTAATTTTACCTCTTAATTGAAACAGTCAACTTGCTGAACTGTATCATTAGTAGACTGAGCTTTATACACATACCACAGCTCAGAAGTCACTTCCTCCTATACCAGTGGCCGGCCAATTGTGGGTCCTTGAACAAAACACATAACATGTTGAGATTCTGTGCTATGCCTTTTTGAGTGGGGAGTCAGACTTTTTTCCTCTGTCAAGTACCACATAAATAGTTAAATAGTAATGTTAATTGCAGGCTATTTTTTTCTTACATCTCAGGTGCCCAAGAAACATCTGACTTAATGTCGCCTAGCAAACGTAGCTCTCAGAAATACATAATAGAAGGACTGACTGAAAAATCGTCCCAGATTGTGGACCCATGGGAGAGGTTGTTTAAGATTTTGAATGTTGTTGGAATGAGATGTGAATGGCAGATGGATAAAGGAAGACGGTAAAAAGTGTTAATTTCTAGAATTACCTAACATAATCTCAGGATCCTAAGAAACAAAAACGCTTTTTTCGCCCTGGCCAGTTTGGCTCAGTGGTTGGAGCGTTGGCCTACGGACCAGAGAGTCCTGGGTTCGGCCCCCGCTAGGGGCACGTACCAAAAAGAAAAAGAAAAAAAAAAAAACACACACTTTTTTCCAAAGCATCTAATGTATAGGTATACCTCTCTTTGGGCAAATTCTGTAACACACAGAATTTATGCAAAAGAGGGTGGGTTTTCACTTTATTAAAAGATCCCCAACAGAAATGGGAACTCTTAAGATGATTTTAAGTTTGAAGTACTGCTTGGTGTTCAGAGAAGAGAGAAGCTACTTGTCATGTTTGTGTCATAAAATCTTGATCTGATCACTGTTCTAATTCAGTGCATCTATATGCACACAATAAAGCACAGTTTTACATGCCTAAAGCTACATTTGGTAAATGTAAATGTAATGGTTCTACTGGGCCATTGCTGTAGACCTTCTGCTGACAAGCCCTGAGTAATTAAGTTTTATCATTCTTCATCTTTCAGAAGCTATGGTGATATCTTGCATAGAATGAAGGATCTCTGCAGATACATGAACAACTTTGATAATGAAGCTCATGCAAAATATAAAAACCAAGTAGTTTATTCCACTATGTTGGTCTTCTTTAAGAATGCATTCCAGTATGTCAACAGCATACAGCCATCTCTCTTCCAAGGTTGGTTTAAGAATTTTAGAGTGTCCCAAAATACTGGCCTTGGGGGAATGGTGAGGAAGATGAATATGCTTACCTTAACATTGTTCTTGGATCCAGATAATTGTGGGGCGATGCCAGTGCTTTTTTTTTACATATTGGTGGTAATGTTTTTTTTTTAATCCTCACCTGAGGATATCTTTCCACTTATCTTCAGATGGAGTGGGAGGGAGGGGAGGGAAGAGAGAGAGAGAGAGACATCAATGTAGAAACGTTGATGTGAGAGAGACACATTGCCTCCTGCACAACCCTGACCAGGGCCAGGGACCAAACCACAACCGAGGTACGTGCCCCTTGACTGTAATCAAACCTGCGACTCTTCGGCTCATGGGCCAATGCTTTAACTGCTAAGCCAAACCAGCCAGGGCCATGTTGTTGGTTTTTATGTGAGTATATTTTCATTAAAAATTTCTATATCAGAGGATGTAGTGGTACTATGAAACTAAATGCAGATATTGAATGCCTATATTTTGAAAAAAGCTGCAGTTGTAGCAAAGTATTGAAGTAGATTTCACAAAGACTTTGCAATAGACAAAAATTTTTTTAAATATTATATAGGTATATAAATTCTGGAATAATATGGAAAACAGAAAAATACCAGTGTGAAATCTCCCATAATTCTTCTAGTATAACACAGTTCTCATTTTTGTGTATTGCCTTATAGTCTTTTCATATATTAGATTTGTTTGGAATTTATAACCATAATTATGTGTAATTTTGTAGCCTTTTTCTGGTAATTTTATGATTCATGATTGTAAAAAATTTGTAGATACATAAGAACAAATACGAAAAAGGAACTTTCATTTGTAATCTACCACTGAGGGGAGAACCTCTTAACAATTTGGTGTATATAGTCTTTTTTTCTATGTATATTTACTTGTTTTCCTAAATGGGGTCACAATGAACATATTTTTTAATGACTTATATTTTCACATGAAAATTGAGTAAATGTCCACCTGATACTGTTCTTTTCCTTCCTGCATCTTTAAGTGTTGGTGTTTCCTCCCCCATCTGTAGGTCCTAATGCCCCAAGCCAAGTTCCACTGGTTCTCCTGGAGGATATAGCAAATGTGTATGGTGATATAGAAATTGATCGTAATAAACACATACATAAAAAGAGGAAACTGGCAGAGGGAAGAGAAAAAACCATGGTAATCCTTTACAATATGATTATTAACAGATAATTATATGCAGTTTGCGATAAATTAATCTTTGTAAAATATGGCTTTGGAGCTAAATTGATCAAGCTTAGGTCTTTTAATGATAAATGTAATTTCTGTGTAAATCAGTGGTTCTCAACTAGAGGTAATTTGGCAATATCTGAGCACATTTTTAGTGGTCATAGCAGGGTGGGAAAGGGTTGCTGTTAGTATGTAGTGATTAGAGGGCAGGGATAACTGCTAGGCATTCTGCAATGCACAGGAAAACCCTTCACAACAAAGAATTATCCAGTCCAAAGGCCAATAGTGCTGAGACTGAGAAACCCTGGTATAAGATATCTATACCTCTTTTGACTGAATGACACCAGTTAAATTTAAAAAGCAGAAGCAAACAAACTGCATTGGCCACCTAGAGCAGGGTGCCGGGGGAGTACTGGCTTCAGAGTGGGAAGTGCCTAGGTGGTCAGGGTAGGAAGTAATTATAACCCACAGGGAGATGTTAGAAAGGTTTTATGACGGAGGTCAGATCAGCCTGGAGGGATGTAGAGGGTTTTGTCATTTGTAATTGAGAAGTAGATTTTATCAAGAGGAGACTGTCTGCATAAGGATGCAGGGGGCTAGAGAATGTGAAGGACCATCTGTCTTCTTGTCTGGCCAGGCAGCAGGTGTGTGCGGGACACTGACTTCCAAACTTTTTTAAAGCAGAGCAGTCCTTTCCCTCTGTAAAATCCTTGGGGGATGTTTAATGTGTAACATGAAAGTGGAGATGTAAAGGGCCAGGCAGTAATGTTTTAGGCTTTACGGGCCACAGAGTCTCTTGCAACTACTCATCTCTGTTATAGTGCAAAATAACCTATAGACAATGGTAAACAAATGACATGGACATGTTCTAATAAAACTTTTCTTACAGAAACAGGTTTGGCTTATAGGTCATAGTTTGCTAATCCTAGCTCTAGTTGAAATGCCCAAGGGGAGCCTAGAGTCTCACTATTTTTCCCCCTCTCCTGTCCTGGTTTCAGTTCCTTAAGCCATCTTCAACTAGACCTTGGCATGATGAGCAGTGTACCTTAAGGTCACTTTAATCTAATGTCTCTGTAACTGTTTAATATAGAATGGATTGAAACAGGGAAGATGTAGCCATTCTGAATGCTTGTCAAGTTATTAATCCTTTAACAAACTAATTTGTTTCCTCCCACAGAGGAATGCACACATACACAATTTTGCAAATTATTTCAGAGGTTGACAGATGCTTTGAAATCCAACCACGAACCCCAGTTTGAGAATTCTGTGCTCACCTGGCTTTCCTAGAGGCCCTATGATTCATGTTTTAAAAAGATCACTAAGGCTACTGAGAGTTACCCCACATTTCCAAGTGGAGTATCTCTCAGCTCTTCTGGTTTCTGGTGGTGTGTAGTTTACTCAAGTACTTCACATTAAGACCTCCTCCTCCCATGTAGATAATACGTTGTGTATTACTAGTTTTAACTAAAAGCAATAAATCATCCCCATGTAATGCAGTATATATAACATCTGTCCGTTTCTCTGTCTCCTACAGTTCCTCCCTGTTAAGCCATCCTAGTCTCTTGCCTAGATCATGGGAATTGGCATCTTGTCTCCCTGCTTTCATTCTTTTTTTTTTTTTTTTCTTTTTTTTTTTTTTATCCTCACCCGAGGATATTTTTCCATTTTTTGTACAGATAGAGTGGGAGGGAGAGAGAGGAAGGAGAGAGAAAGAGAAACATCGACGTGAAGGGACACATCGAGTGGCTGCCACCCGCACGACCAACCAGGGCCGGGGACAAACTGCAACCGAAGTACGTGCCCTTAGCGGGAACCGAACCCGGGTCTCTCCAGACCGCAGGCCGACGCTCTAACCGCTGAGCCAAACTGGCCAGGGCCTTGCTTTCATTCTTGATCCCCACACACTCTTCTCTACCCAACAACCTGATTAATCTTTTTAAAACATGAATCAGACACCACTCCCCTGCTTGACCACCTCTAACGGTTTCCCATCATGCTTAGAATAAAATCCAAAGTGCTCCAAAGTGCTCGCTGAGCAAGCCCTTATACCTGGCAGACACGTTGGCTTCTCTGTGCTGCTCCAGTGGTCTGCATGGTCCTGCCGCTCCAGCCTCTGCCCTGTTTGCAATGTGCTGTAGGGTTAGAATGCTTTTGTTTGCCAATCCGGGTCCTGTCATTCAGCTCTCAGCCTAAACTTTCACTCTCTGAGGCCTCCCCTGAGTGCTCATTAAAAGTAACCTTCCAGTTTTCTCTTTTTGTTACTCTGTTTTAATTCCCTGCATAGCCCTTACTGCTGTCTGTTTTTTCTTCTTTGTTGTTTGGTTGGTTTGTTGTCTGTGTCCCTTCACTAGAATATGAGCTTTGTGGAGCCAAAGACATTGTCTTGCCCAACTCTGTATCCTGGATGTTTGAACAGTGTCTGAGCCCCAGCAGGTGTTCAGTGAATGATTGGTGAATGAGTGGCTGGCTTTCCATACTTCCCTCTCAGGTTTGGCATCCAGGCTGTGATTGAGCTGTTTAAACCTTCAGCCCCATATGTTCCTCCTCCCATTTTTCACCTGTCATGTGTCATGTGTCCTCTACCAGGCCCTGCTCCCATACTCTGGTGCTCCGAGCAGTCTGGGTTTCCATCCATTTTTGTTTTTACTTCTCTTAACTGATTTCATCCTGGTGTTATTGTGTCCCACAGTCTGTGCCCACCTGATGCAGCCAGGTCTATTGGTCTGATCATTGCAGAGGACATACCAAATGGCCCATGAGCTCAGCTCACAGTCATATCTTCTTTTACTCATAGTGGTTTTGTTTTTAAATAACCTAGTGTCTAAACATTGGGAGCTTACTTATAACAATACAGATATCTGACCTCCCCTTAATAATTGGAATATCTGATTACTCTGGCTCCTGATGGTGGCCCACAACTGGAGAGGGGTAGAGGCTGCCCACTTCAGATGAGCATCAGCCTAATTGTCCTGCTCACATGACATGCCAGGCGGCAAGCTCGGGTGGGGAGCGGTCCTCTTCTGCAGGCAGTGTTCTACCCGCACACACTCCTGTGCATTCCCTGCGGTCAGGTCTTGTGCTCCAGAGAGCTTCCACGTGTGCTTTTACATTTCCAAAAGAGTTTCTCAAGATTTTACCAACTGGAACTCCACACTATGCCCCTCACATCTGAGGTCCCTTCCATAAACCCTTGATCATATTTTGAAGCAGAATGTCTTCCAATGAACATACCATTCATATTAGTATATTTTATTAAATTACCAGCATGTGGCAAGGAACAGGACCCAGTGAAACAGGATACCTGGCAGATAGATTTTGGTTGTGAAAGGGATCTGGGTATGTGTCATTACCAAGGGAGGATAAAAATATGAAGCTAAATAGGGGGGACCAGGGAGGGTCCCAAGCGTCAAGGAATAAGCAGGAGGATACTGAGCTCTGAAAGTGTAGGAGAAAGGTGGGTAGTGGGAGGTGCCTGTTTTTTCTGAGGTTGTCTTGAGGAATGGAGCTTTTAGCCAAAATATTTGTGCCTTCTCTTAAATGATCTTAGTAAAAATCTACAGGGAGAATTTAATTTGGGTCATTGAATAAATAAAAATGACCTTGGTGGAATAAAAGATTCAAGAAATTCTCAGCAAAATAAAATTAACTGGAGCTGTTTTACCTTGACTGGTTTGTTTTTGGCCAAATGTCTGACCATTCCCAGTGGCATTTACAATAGTTGCCTTTCTCTGAGGCCCTCTTCTTTCTTTGGCTTTATATTACTTGAGATGAAGAGCAAGAAAAAGCAAATAAAAAAGACTTTTTATTGCACCGGCTGGTTTGCTCAGTGGTTAGAGTGTCGGCCCACAGACCAAAGAGTCAGGTTTGATTCCAGTCAAGGGCACATACCTTGGTTGTGGTTCGTCCCTGGACCTGGTCGGCCCTGGTCGGCCCTGGTTGGCCCTGGTCGGGCCTGGTCGGGGTTGTGCAGGAGGCAGCCAGTTGATGTGTCTCTCACATCATTGCCCCCCCCCCCGCCCCACCTCTATCTGAAGATAAATAGAAAAATATCCTCGGGTGAGGATTAAAAAAAGACTTTTTACTTTTTATTGATAAGTGCAGGCAGGTGTGATTCCTGGCTGGACACCTTGCACTGGGAGCAGAGCTAAAGAGAGCGGTGGTCATTGGAGGATTTATATGCAATGAACAAAAGATAACAGTTATTTCTCTGAATTATTTTTAGGGGACTTGGGCTTTAATTTTATTCCATTACATGACAGGCTATTATTTGGAAGCACACTAAATAATGTCTCGCTTATTGAAAAAAATGTAAACTATAAAGCAGATGTTACTTAAGCTGTATTTCTGAATGTAAAAATCTAATTTTGGGCTTTTATAACATTGATATGTTTTTAAATTATTGCAAGTTTTAACTCCATAACTTTACTTTGAAGCCAACAGAAGCTTAGAATTTACCATCAGAAAAACATAAACTTAATTTTTGAAATAAAACTTCAGTGTGTGAGAGATGATAAAATGTTTATATTAATTTTTTAAACTAAATTGTTAAATTCAAAAAAATTATTATATTCATAGTAGTGTCCTTTGATATAAAATCCATATATTAACCAACTTTCACAACCATTTTAATGAAAGTAAAATTAACCTTAAAAAATAATAATAAAATAAAATTTTCCCTGGCCAGTTGCTCAGTGGTTAGAGCATCGGCCTGCGGACCAATGACTCGCGGGTTCAATTCCAGTCAAGGTCACATACCTTTGTTGTGGTTCATCCCCAACCCTGGTCAGGGTCCTGCGGGAAGCAACCAGTCGATGTGTCCCTCTCATGTCGATGTTTCTCTCTTCGTCTCTCCCACTCTGTTTGAAGATAAATAGAAAAATATCCTTAGGTGAGGATTTAAAAAAAATAGTAAAATCCATATAATAACCAGAATTGGCAGCAGTCGGTGTAGTAATGTTTCAGTATATAACTATATAACTAAATTAATCACGTGCTTCACATTCTCTAAGCAGAGTTCAGATGACGAGGACTGTTCAGCAAAAGGAAGGAATCGTCACATTGTCATCAATAAAGCAGAACTCACTAACTCAATTGAAGTGTTAGAAAGCTTTAAATTGGCCAGGGAGAGCTGGGAGTTGCTCTATTCCCTAGAATTCCTTGACAAAGGTAAGAATATGCTTGTCGTGTTAATGCTGTTTAATTTTTTAATATAAAATCATTAAGCCAAAGAATTGTTCTACTTGAAATGTCAAGTTACTGTGGCTAATTAAATTGAGTATAGTAGTTCACATTTATTTTAGGATTCTTTTGAGCAAGATATCTAATCAGTTATTAATATTCAAATAACCATTTTCCTCTTATCTTCTACTCTGAGGGTATATCATAATCAGGGTTGGAGTGAAATACAGGGAGAGTTTTTGGTCTTTTAAAATTTTCATTGCTGGCCTGTTTTTTTCCTTGCTAGATTTGTTTGTTTTGTGCTTTTCAGTGTCCTGTCCTATTGCTGTGTATCTTCCTTAAGCCACATATAACTAAGAATACAAAGTGCAATGCTATTTTTCATCTGCATTAACCCCATTGCCTGAAAACCTCAAAATCCAAGTACTGCAGAAAGCCTGTTTTCTTTTTAGTATAGACATAAAACTAGGGTGTTTTTTTTTGTTTGTTTGTTTTTTATCCTCACCCGAGGACATTCTTCCATTTTTTGTTCAAGTAGAGTGGGAGGGAGAGAGAGGAACAGAGAGAGAGAGAGAAACATCGATGTGAAAGGAACACATCGAGTGGCTGCCACCCGCACAACCGACCAGGGCCAGGGACAAACTGCAACCGAGGTACGCACCCTTAGCGGGAACCGAACCTGGGTCTCTCAGGACCGCAGGCCGACACTCTAACCGCTGAGCCAAACCGGCCAGGGATAAAAACTAGGGTGTTTTATTTGAATAATATTAAACTATTAAGTATTTCAACATTTCTTAGAAATGAATAGCACTTTGCTAACCAACGTATTTTACTGTCCTTTGGAGTCAAGCCCATTACTTCCTTTTAGCCAGTGGGCATTCATGCCCTGGCCTGCTTCTGTCACATGAGCCCTCCGTCTTGTTTTCTAAGTAAATATAGCATCATTCTGTTTCTCCTGTCATATCTAGAATTGTGAACATGTATGTGACTTCTCCTTTAGGTACAAATTGACTATTCTTAAAATGAGTAAAACTCGTAGTGTTGCATATTTGAAGTTCTAGACTAGTGTTTTAGAGATCAGACTCTAAAGTTACTATCCATTTTTTGGTAACTTGTCTCTGACTGCTGTTCTCTCTTGCTGCGTTTGTTAGTGTTGTTTTCTGCTTCTGTGTTACATATTTTTGATACCTTTGCTTTGAATTCTCACTCAGAATTTACAAGAATTTGTTTGGCATGGAAGACGGATACATGGCTTTGGTTAAGAATCTTCCTCACTGATATGATCATCTATCAGGTAGAGTCATGTGTATTTTATACCTGTGTCTGTACAAGAATGTTGTTGCAAACCATCAGCATGCAGGATATGTATGTTCCTCTGTGGGTTATTAGTCTGTGCGCTAAAGACAAATGTTTTGTCTTCAGTGGTGGCAGAATTATGGTCCACTTTCATCTCATAATAACTCCAAAATGGCAAGGCTGCATCTTCTGTGTTACTTTTGGTATGTCCAGTTCATTCCTTTGTAAAAGTAAGATTTTTACTTTTCAATAAAAGGTGGCTATTTCTTCCCCTCCCCCTCTCTACTCTGGGGGAGTCTTTCTGCCTTGCTCTGCTATTCTGGAGCTTCTTATGCCTAGAATGGAGACAGCAGGTAATTCACTAATTGGATGGAGAGCTTCCAGCCTCTGTTGTCGAAATGGACATGTTGCTGCTTCCATCCTTCATAAAGAGAACTGGTAATGGTAGTAAAATATTTATGGAGAAATGATATATTCAAAATGTACTTTATCAAAGGACTTGTGTTTATTTTATTTACTCTGGAAAATTAAGACCAGAAAGACTATTTCCTTTTCCTCCTTGGATGATCAAGCAGAGGTACCTTATTTGTAGTAACTTGTTAGATGCTTAGTTAACTAAGGAGGTTTGTTTTTGTTTTGTTTTTAATGGCAGTATTTTTTTCCTTCTTGCTGTTACATCTTTCTAAGGGTCAATATAAAAAGGCAATAGCCAGCCTACATCATTTAGCAGCTCTCCAGGGATCACTCCCTCAGCCACAGATCACGGGACAGGGAACCTTGGAGCATCAAAGGGCACTCATCCAGCTGGCAACCTGCCACTTTGCTCTAGGGGAGTACAGAGTGAGTACCACACACCTTGCATGGGGGTACAGAGTGAATACCACACACCGTGCACGGGGGTACAGAGTGAGTACCGCACACCGTGCACGGGGGTATAGAGTGAGTACCGCATACCGTGCACGGGGGTACAGAGTGAGCACCGCACACCGTGCACGGGGGTACAGAGTGAGTACCGCACACCGTGCACGGGGGTACAGAGTGAGTACCGCACACCGTGCACGGGGGTACAGAGTGAGTACCGCACACCGTGCACGGGGGTACAGAGTGAGTACCGCACACCGTGCACGAGGATACAGAGTGAGTACCACACACCGTGCATGGGCCTACAGATGCACTCAGCTACCCTGGGGCTTCCTCTTTTTCTCTGAGCGGCTTTTTAATTCTGTGCATGTTTACTTTGATATTTGGTCTTTCTACCTAGATTCATCACTCAATCTTTGGAAAATCATGGTGATTTTGTTTTACTTATTTTTCTCTCTGCTATAACTTCCCTGAAATTGGGCTTTGGTGCTTTATTATTATTTAATTTAGTTGGAAGATGATCTTTTTTTTTTACTTTCTTGCCTGAAATCTCTTCAGAGTGGAATCAGTCTTGTTGTACTAGACAGAAAGGGCCTTTACTAAGTGGGAATTGAGAATTTACATTAGGTTATCTGAATCTGAGAGTCTCCCTCTTTCCTGGTGATGACACCGCAGGGGTTGTTGCAAGAACAGATGTTTCCTCCAAGGTTGTGAGCCCCTCCTACCACATGGTGGGGACAGTGTTCTTTACCTTGAATCTCTCTCTCGGTACCTATGGCAGTAATTTGCACAGCTTTGATACTCAATAAATGTTTGAATTCAATCCAAATGGCAGGTATGTTCTTTCTACATTATGTAAGTACTGTATAAATTTAAGGCCACAACCTCACACACAAACTCTGATTCTCATCTGTTCGTATGTTAAATTGATTACTTTGTGATTAAAAACCCTAAATTGAGTTTTAACTTGAACTTTGAAATATGATTTGCAATTTGCCATGAATTTTAGAAAGAAGCAATATGTAGAGTATGTGCATTTAAAAATGAAAATGCTTTTCTCCCATCACTTATGTAATTATCAGGTACCTAATTCTAAGTTTGATTAATTCCTTCTGAGAACTACATGCTTACCCACACAGATATACATACAGGTCATGTAGAATCAACCATGCAGGGCACTGCTGTTCTGCATTGTAGTAGGAAATATAAAATAAACTGGTTGATTTTATTAAGCTAGGCAAGCTCATTCTCTTTAAGGGCTTCAGTTACACCTCTGAGCTGATCACTGTTAGGCCTACTTGATTTCTAACTTATCTGGTTCCTCAATCTCTAACTGCCTGTCTCAGCTCAGACTCAACACATCCTCTGTTCTCTGGCCTTTAGACGTGAACCAGCTAAGTCATGGTTGACCCTTAACTCTAACTAATCCTTTTGATTCTTCCAGTATGACATTAATATCTTTGGTATAGTGCCTTTTATTTCCATTGCCACCACCCTAATTCTTGGCCTTTAACTGAGTTTTTTGCCTGTAACATTTTTTTCATTCCTATAAATTATGGTTATTACTTTCTAAAATACTGCTGTCATCATTCCACTTAATTGAAAGATTGACTTTCTCGGTGCCCAGAGTTGAACCATGCGCTGGGGTGGAGAGGAAAATGGTGTGGGGAATATGGGATCCCGGCACTCGAGGACATATCATTTGAGTTGGAGAGAAAAGTGCAAGACAGTTAAAAATCAGATATTAAGTGATATAGCTCAGATGTGTGCACAGGCGGCATTCAGGGAAGAATGTTTTCACCAGGGTCCAGGTAGTCGAGGAAAGATTTATGGAAAAGGTTGGCAGTAGGTAGGTGTTGAAGGATGGCAGCTTGGGACTCTAGAGTACAGGTTTTGGCTCCACCATGTACTAACCCTGTGATCTGGGCAAGTTACCTTACCAGGACTGGCTAACTCAAGTTCAAGTTCTTAACTACCAAGCTGCCAATCTCTCTGGAAGCTAGAGCTTCACAACCCTTTGGTCTTGGGGGAAGAATGCCCCTCAGCCCTCAGGGCAGTTAGCTGTTGCTAGGGCAGCGGGAGCCCCCAGGGCAGTTGCTGCCAGCTCTGAGCAGCCTTATAAATATTGTTTTCTCCTGCATGCCAAGACATGAAAAAGATTAGGAAACATGGATTTGAGATGTAACTTCCTCATCTGTAAAATGGAAATAATAAGGTTGTGGATAGAAAATGCTACCTAAATGGAATCTGATTGTTGCTATTACCATCTGAATAGGTCAGAGGTAAGTGGTAAATGCTAATGTCTTACCTTGTGGATTGAAACCAGCCTGCTGGGTGTGGCACTGGAGGCCTTCTCATCCACCAGCACTGCATCTGGCCAGTGTGCTGTTTCCTGAACCACACCCTCCTTCCCCTCCCGTAAATCCCCCAGACAGATACTCAGCTCCTTCCCACATCTTTCTCTCCTGCTTTGAAAACCCTTTTCTCTTTTCCACATTCCAAATTCTACCCCCACTTTAAGGCTTAGGTCAGGATAACCTTCCTGCTACTATGTTTTAATTCTGTTCTATATTATAGCATTTAGTTCTTTACTCTGTGTCCCATTTTGTTCATTTTTCTATTCAGTGAGTTAGTAAATATTGTTAAGACAGGGACATACTTCTTTTGAATGCCACTATGCTGTTTAACACCTTGGTAGTTTAATTAATACTTGATTACTTTGTAAGTTTTGTTCTCTTGTTTTTTGACAGCTGAGAATGAGTTATTGCTCCCTCAAAGGTCTACTACATAGATTTCACTATCTTACACTTTCTCTGCGTGCCCTGTCGAGCAAACAGTAATGATAACTTAAAGTCTGGAGGCATCGCCACAGATCTCTGTGTGCACATGTTGCCCACTTGTACACAGATAGTTTAGTGTGATGTTGATTTGGTTTCAGTTTCAAAAAACTTCAGATTAACTTTTTTTCCTTATCTTCCTCAGATGACATGTGAAAAAGTCCTGGATTTGATGTGCTACATGGTACTCCCCATTCAAGATGGAGGCAAATCACAGGAAGAACCTTCAAAAATAAAGCCCAAATTTAGAAAAGGTACAGTGGCAAGTTTTATTTTTATTTTGTAAAAATGGCTTTAGGACCCAAAGCTGGGAAATGTTTTATAATTCCTTATAAAATAATACTGTGTGATCTACAAGAAGTTAGTCCTTTGGCAAGCATTTTCTTGGCTTTAATTTTATGGGCAGCTGTAAATCTTTCTTCCAAAATGCTCTTCATTTCTTGAGTCTGTTATCTCTTCAATTCTAAACTCCTTTTCCTTCCTGTACCAATTCTAGGAAAACAGGTAGATGGTTGGTTAAGTCTGTCCGTCATACGTATACCTCTTGGGCTATTTGAGCTCATTTCAAGTTGCATGTTGCTTGACAACTACATATATTTAGTTGTGATGCTTGTATGAGAAAGAAAGATTCACTATCGCTGATCTAAATTTCCACCTTGAAAGTCAGAAAAAGTTGAATACGTTACACCCAAAGAAACTTGAATACAGTAAGTAATAACTATATGAGCATAAATCAATGAAATAGAGAAGATTAATGAAGCCCACAATTTTCTGAAAAAAATTAATAACATTGATAAACCCCTAACAGGACTGATCAGGAAGAAAGTGAACACTGATTACCAGTATCAGGAATAAAAGAGGGAATGTCACTACGGAGCCTGCTGAAATCAAAGACATTAAGAGAATAAAACAGGAATAACATTATGCCAATAAATTGAACAATTTAGATGAAATGGGAAAATTCCCTGAAAAACACAACTTACCAAAATAGACACAAAGTGAAATAGAAAATCTGAATGTTCCTTTATCTATCAAAGAAATTAAATTTGATTTTAGAAACCTTCCCTCAGAGAAAACTTCAGGTCCAGATGGCTTCACTAGTGAATTCTAACAAGCATTTAGGAAGACATAATATTAATTCTGCCTGCACTCTTTGAACAAATAGAGGAAGAGGGAATACTTTTCAATTCAGTTTTTAAGGCCAACATAACTCTGATAGCAAAACTAAACAAGAGCATTACAAGAAATGAACATTAAAGGACACTACCCATCCTGAACATAGATGCCAAAATCCTTAGCCAAATACTAGCAAATCAAATGTAGCAAATATATAAGAAGGGTATTATAAATGACCGAGTATACAAGGAATGCAAAAGTTGCTTAACATTCAAAAATCAATAACTAATTCACCACATTAGCAGATGAAAAGAGAACAACCAGGATTGTCCTAATAGGCAGAATTCTATTATGTTTACATTTATTATTCTTGATTTTAATTTTTTTTTTTATTTTTTATTTTTTATCCTCACCCGAGGATATTTTTCCATTTCTTGTACAGATAGAGTGGGAGGGAGAGAGAGGAAGGGAGAGAGAGAAACATCGACGTGAAGGGACACATCGAGTGGCTGCCACCCGCACGACCAACCAGGGCCGGGGACAAACTGCAACCGAGGTACGTGCCCTTAGCGGGAACCGAACCCGGGTCTCTCCGGACCGCAGGCCGACGCTCTAACCGCGGAGCCAAACTGGCCAGGGCTATTATTCTTGATTTTAAAAATCTTATTAGCAAACTAGAAATAGAAGGAAACTTCCTCAACATCATATTTAACTATGAAATATTGAATGCTCCCCGAGATCAATACAATAGAAGGATGTTTGCTCCTACCACTCCATTCAAAACAGTCTAGCTAATACAGTAGGCAAGAAGAAGAGATAAATGTTGAAAAATACTGCCTTTATTTACAGCTACATATTTGGCTACATAGGAAAGCCTCCAAATAGAATAACATCAGAACATCTCCAAATAGACTAACATCAAAAAACACAGAATACTTAGGTATAAATTTCATGAAAGATGTGTTTGTAGATCAGCAGACTCAATATGGTTAGGGTACCAGTTATCCCCAATGCGCAATCCCAGTCAGAATCCCAGCAGACTCTTTTTTTTTTTTTTTTTTAATCCTCACCCGAGGATATTTTTCCATTTTTTGTACAGATAGAGAGGGAGGGAGAGAGAGAAAGGGAGAGAGAGAGAGAGAGAAACATCGACGTGAAGGGACACATCGAGTGGCTGCCACCCGCACGACCAACCAGGGCCGGGGACAAACTGCAACCGAAGTACGTGCCCTTAGCGGGAACCGAACCCAGGTCTCTCCGGACCGCAGGCCGACGCTCTAACCGCTGAGCCAAACTGGCCAGGGCCAGACTCTTTTTTTATATAGAAATTGACAGGGCTGATTCTAAAATTTATATGGAAATACAATCTTGAATAACCAAAACAGTTTTGAAAAAGATGAACAAAATTGGGCAACTTACTCTACCTGATAGGAAGACTTAATATAAAGCCACAGTTATTAAAACAAGATTGACATAAAAATAAGGAATCCAGAAATAGACCCACACAAATACGGTCAAATGATTTCGGTGAAGCAGCCACATGATTCAGTGAAGAAAGGAAAGCCTTTTCAGTAACGTGGTGCTGAGACAAATGGATTTTCATGTGGAAAGAAAAAGGAGTATCAACCCCTGCCTTACAGTATTCACGAAAGTGGATTTGAGGTGGAGCATAGACTAAATAGAAAAGCAAAAATGGTAACATTTTTTTAGAAGAAAATATCTTTACAATTGATATGAGACACTAAACACTTTCTAGAAGAAGAAAGCATGATAGTTTTGATCATTACAAAAGTTCCTTGAGGTCCATGGCAATTCATTATACTATTCTGTTTGCTTTATGTATATTTGAAATTTTCTGTAACAAAAGGTTTTTTTTTTAAAAAAGATACAGCCCGGCCAGTGTGGCTCGGTGGTTGAGTGTTGACCCATATACCAAGAGGTCGCTGGTTTGATTCCCAGTCAGGGCACATGCCCAGGTTATGGGCCCAATCCCCAGTGGTGGGGCATGCAGGAGGCAGCCAGTGAATGTTCTCTGTCATTGATGTTTCTCTCCCTCTCCCTCTCTCTTTAAAAAAAAAAAAAATACAGCCCAGACCCTTTCAAAAATTAAGTGTCTCTATGGAACAGGAACAGATCAGGTAGCTAAGACCTGCTCTAGCAGACATCAGAGTAATTTTAAAGGTATTGTAATTAAAATAGTGTAGTATTGGCCTAGAGATTGACCAAAGGAACATAACACCAAGAAACAGCTGGCAGTATAATTCAGTGAGGGAAGAATAAATGTATCCAATAAGTGGTACTGAGACAACTGATTATAAAAATGTTAAAACAGCAGTAAAAATGAGATCCCTCTTTTTTTTTATCCTCACCCGAGGACATTTTTTCATTTTTTGTTCAGATAGAGTGAGAGGGAGAGAGAGGGAGAAACATCAACGTGAAAGGGACACATCGAGTGGCTGCCATCCGCACGACCCAACCAGGACCAGGGACAAACTGCAACCGAGATACATGCCCTTAGCGGGAACTGAACCCGGGTCTCTCCGGACTGCAGGCCAACTCTCCAACCGCTGAGCCAAACCGGCCAGGGCGAGATCCCTCTTTCAATGCAAAATTCATTTACATTTTTAAGATTTGAATATGAAAACTAAAACTTTTAAACTTCCAGAAGAAAATCTTTGTGCCTTCTAGGTAGAGAAGGATTTGGGCTACAAAGAACACATACCATGAAAGAAAGGATTGAAGGTTTAAAAACCATTACCAAAAGTTTTTTCCACAAGTGCACAAGAAAATATATATGAGAATGTTTAGTTCGGCATTGTAATAGTGAAAAATTGGAAATCTCAATGTCCACCATAAAAGATTAGATAAATTAATTGTGGCATATGTAAACAGCAGACTACTATATAGCATTGAAAATTTGCGGAGGGGGTACAGAAATGGGTGAATGGAGTCAAAAGGTACAAACTTCTAGTTATAAAATAAGTAAGTGCTGGGGATGTAATGTACAGCACAGTGACTATACTTAATAATACTGTATTGCATATTTGAAAGTTGCTAAGAGAATAGGTCTTAAAGTTCTTGTCACAAGAAGAAAAAGATTAACTATGGATAGTGACAGATGTTAGGTAGACTTAACTCTGGTGATCCTTTTGCTATACATGCAAATATCAAATTATGTTGTACACTTGAAACTAATATAATCTTTTGTGTCAGTTATACCTCAATAAAAAAATATCAGTGACCTAGAGCTACAGGTATTAGTATTGAAAATGCAATTTGCAGAAGGATACATAGGATTTGACACCATTTATATGGCAGACTGCAAAACATTCCTCTGTGGTGTTTAAGAATACAAATGTCTGTATTAAAAGTGTGCAATATACATAGGAATGATAAACACTATATTCAGAATAATGGTTACCTCTAGGGAGGGAGGGAAGAAGACAATGGTATTAGAAAGATACATAGGGACTTCAAGTGAATTTGTGATGGTTTATATTAAAACCTTTAAAAAACTAAAGCAAAATGTTAATATTTTATAAAGCTGAGTGGTGAACACGGTGGTGTTTGTAATACTCTATAATTTTTTATATACTTGAAATGTTTTCTAAAAAAATAATTTAAGCAATTTTAGGAAAAAAGATTTGATAAATGAAATCCAGAGACCTTTAAAAATCAATTTCACCTCTACTAAACATAATTGTGGTTTAACTATTTATTATTTATGAAATCATATGACTGTTGCTTACTCTTTTTTTTTTTAGGAAAGCATCTTAAACTTTTGCTTTTCAAAACTGTTTTCTTTGATAATAACAAGCATGTTGTGGACTTTTGTTAGGTTCGGACCTGAAGCTTCTGCCTTGTACCAGCAAGGCTATCATGCCGTACTGCCTGCATCTAATGCTAGCTTGTTTTAAGGTAAGCTTAAAGTTGATTTCTGGGAAAATTCATTTCGTGGGAAAGAAGTTTAATGGGGAAAATTGTTCTGATGACCTGGAATGACTTGACTCGAGAACCTTGAGAACGAAGGTTACTTTCCTTTGAAAGTACACGTTGTTGTCTATGGCCACATCACCTGCATGCACCTGATCTCATCTGAAAGCGCAGGTTGGTGTAGTGAGGAAAGCGCACGGGCTAGGAGTGAACAAACATGTATGAAATACTCACTGCACTGGGCAAAGAGGAGGAGGAAGTGATCCCCATCCTTGAGAAGTTTACAAATAATAGTGGTACAAATATGCAAATAACCTTGCCAATAGCAGTGTTCAGTAAATTTTTATGAATTAATAAACAATTCGGAATATATTAGCTACAGGAGAAGGGATTATAATTGTTGGGTTCATAGAGGGATGGTGAGTTTATTATTCATAAAGATACAGTGGGTGAAGGTGTTTCAGGCACAAGGATGAACACCAGCCAAGGCCCAGCAGAGTCGGGAAAGGCTAAGGGCTTGAAGGAATGCTAGGCCCTGGGCTGTAGGCACTGTGCAGCCTTCGAGTAGACAGGTTTATGAGCAGGAGAACAATATTGAGTCTCCACTTTAGAGTAATTATTCCAAACTTAACTCATCAGCACAGTCACTTGTGGCGACAGAAACAATTGAAGGTGTGATTTTAGGCATAGCTGCTAATTTAGATCAAAAAGTCCTTTGCCGGTTTCTCCTGTTCACACTTGTGTTTACTTCCTTCTTGCTCACTGCCTTTCTTTCTCCCCAAGTTCATGTTTCCAGTCCCTTCTCTACTAGAGGGCTTCTTGTCTACCCTCCTTCCCCAGCTGTCTCCTTGAAAGAGATCCCCCAGTTCTTCTCTCTGATAAATACAGACCATACAGCTTTCTCTCGCCCTTCCTCCCAAATTCAACGCTTCAGGCTACCGTACATGTCCAGGTCCCATCATGATGCCCATGTAAACACACTGCCACCACCATTCACACAGTGCGGGGTGCGGGCAGCCGAGGCTTCTCTTGTCAGGACCCACCCTCCTTAGCAGGCGGGTGTGTGGTGCTTGGAAACAGCTTTATTTTCTACTTTGTTCCCTTCCTCCTCTAATGACCTCAATTGTGTGTTTTCATGTAATAGCATATTTTTAAGGAAGTGATATTGGTGTATTTTAGATTGCCTTGTGATTTACTTTTCCTTCTATGTCTGCATAAATTCTTGTCTTGCAGCTGAGAGCATTCACGGACAGCAGGGATGACATGGCTCTGGGGCATGTGATTGTATTGCTTCAGCAAGAGTGGCCGCGGGGAGAGAATCTTTTCTTGAAAGCTGTCAATAAGATTTGCCAACAAGGAAATTTCCAATATGAGAATTTTTTCAATTATGTTACAAGTATCCTTTTTCTTGTTTAAGCATAAGAAATTCTGATTTTTTCTTTTCAATGAATGCATGTTACAAAAATGGATGGGCCATTCTGGGTAGAAATAATGGTTTTCACTCTTTGGGGGGGGAGAAGGAATGGGGATGAAAAGGGGGACAGTGGCCATTGGTCTTTGAAAGTCATAAAAGACTTCAAAGAGGTGATGTGAGGAATCAGGAATATCAACAGTCCTGTTCCATTTTTCATTTCCAGTGACTTCTGGGGAGGTACCCAAGATGCCTGAAATAATAGCCTACAGGTTCCTGACAGGCCCAGAGTAGCAGGTTTGGCCGTAGACTAAAATAGCTCATTGGCCTTCATCTTCCAGACAGGGCCTCCTGGGGCATTGGCCGTCCCTTGTGATCCGTTGTTGGAGTTCTACACCTTAGTTGTCACAACTGCTGCTAAGTCTCACTGAAGGTGCTGCCCATCCCAACAGTCACTTACTTTTTTCTTTTCTTTTTTTTTTTTATCCTCACCCAAGGATATTTTTCCATTTTTTGTACAGATAGAGTGGGAGGGAGAGAGAGGAAGGGAGAGAGAGAGAGAAACATTGACGTGAAGGGACACATCGAGTGGCTGCCACCCACACGACCAACCAGGGCCGGGGACAAACTGCAACCGAAGTACGTGCCCTTAGCGGGAACCGAACCCGGGTCTCTCCGGACCGCAGGCCGACGCTCTAACCGCTGAGCCAAACTGGCCAGGGCCCAACAGTCACTTTCAATAAGTGTTGTACTTCACACTGTTTGTTTGGGAAAGACCCTTTGAGTGGAAGGCTATGCATCAGTTTGATGTTTATATTTTCTTGTTTATCTCAATACATTATTTTTTAGTTACAGGGAAGCTAATATCCTTATCCAACTGCCTAGAGCAATAGTTCTTACATTTTTGGGGGGATATATCACCCCCATACCTTTCATTTCTTGTTAAGAAAACAAAAGATTTTGCTCTTATGACCATATAGAATGTTAGAATGTCATCTCTATGAAAAACACGTTTATCTTTGTGAGGTGGTTTGGTTGATATAAGAATCATTAGCTTTGGAATCAGACAGACCCGGGTTCCATACTGACGCTACAAATGTCTGTGGGCTGTTAGTTCCTCATCCCTGCAAGGCCGTTTCCTCATCCGAGAGGCCAGGGCACCTTGTTCTTACATGTGGTTAACCTGAATCTGGCCTGCAGATATTGATATGCTGGAGGAATTTGCCTACTTGAGAACTCAGGAAGGTGGGAAAATCCATCTGGAATTACTGCCCAATCAAGGAATGCTGATCAAGTAAGCAGCCTGTCTTGCCCTTCGTGCTAAGTGCTCACCTTTTGTGTGCTTGTAGGAGTATCTGTAAATTGCTATGCCTTTCAAAAATGTAATAGGAAGAAATCCAAACCTGGTCTCTGTTTTTGAGAGCAGATTTGATTCTGGTACTTTTGAAAGGCTTGGCGTTTCCTTAACAACATTTCTGATCAAACATTATTTAAATGGGTGTTTCTGTCCCTTTTGAAACTTTTTCACTAGACAGTAGTCTCATTCATGATATATTTTTCTTTCCAAAATTTACAGACTGAGTCTATAACTTCCTGATTAGAGATAGAATGCTTTTAATTAAGAAACACCATGCTTAATTAAAGTATCAGATTAAGATAATTCATTAGGAAAACTATAGACTTTATTTATAAACTGTCCTTGGATTTCAGTATTGAACTGAAGCCCACCTAAGCAATCCTCATTGCTTATATAACAAAGAACAGTAGCCCACTCTAGAGCCTCCAGACTTACCTGCCCTGGAAATGGCGGTGGGGTACTTGATCTCAGGCATGCCCTCCCACACCTATAGGAAGTTAAGTGACCATTTATGATTTTTAAATAGCTCATAAATCTTGCTTCTCTCCTTCAATCCTCATTGTAGTTGGATGATATATCCTCTGTGCTGTAAATGCTGCGCATAGTTTGATTTTCATACTTCCTCCTTTGCGTCCCGCATATTCAGCATGTCTGAAGTCAGTGTTAGTCACTGCAGGAGACGAACCCAGAGGGAGAAGGAAGTGTTGCTAAGGCTGAAAACGTTTTCCTGTGTCCCTCATTTGTGACATGGACGAGTTTTCAGTTGTTGAGAGAAAAATATCCACAACTCGTTCAATGTTTGTAGTCTTAGAAATGTTGAGAGAGGGAGGTAAGAGGTGTTCATTCTGGATTCCTGTAACCTCAGTAATTTGGTGTATAGCAGACATGTGCTATCAATAGCAGGGTCTTGTGGAATCCAGTCTAAAGAATGGGAAGCTTAAGGAGACTCTTGCCCTTCATCTTATAAATGTTATTAATATTCTAAACATTTAAAATAAAAGAACAATGCTCTGTGTTTTTTTTTTTAAACATGAGACCTTTATACATTAGGTTGTTTCAGCAGGATGGACTAGACATGCTCATCTTCCCATCTCCATTGACTTTCCGAAGGCTGAGTACAAACTGGGAGAAAACTGCATGGTTCAAAATAGTCTTATTAACCGTATTTGAGAATGAAGATCACTTTTTGACATGGGAGCCTACGTAACCCCTTTTATGTTGTGATTTCTTTTCTAGGTTTTGAGGCTGGGTATACAAACATGCCTTTAATAGCTTTTTAGTTAATTTCCATTAACACTCATCATACAAATTATCATATTATAGAGACAGCTTTTGTAGAACCAACTCCATTTACTTAGGATTAATCCTACAAATGATTCTCACTTTACTTAGATAATGCTGAACTGTTTGTGGAAGTGGGAGAGAATGGATTGCCAAATTCAACAGTTGAATCTCAATGTTTATTATACTGAACCTTTCTTTTTTAGCCAGTTTTTACTGAGCTAAACAGTGACAGGTACAGCAAACAACCCCTAACACATGGGATGAAAGCAAGGAGTTTGGACACCCACTTAATACTGTAAAGGGTTGTTTAGGATAAAGCAGGGATACACAGCATGCATTTGTAGGTTTTGGGGAGATAATTCCATGCTCCCCACCTTGGTCACTATAACCCTTAATTTCTAGACCATTAAACTTCATAGGAAACCTGTTTGAAAGCAGGAGTACGAATTGTCACTTAGTGAGCTGACCTTGTAGGAATTTGCCCAGTCTTCACTATGTGAGTCTCCAAGTTCATTTGAAGCCTGCATTTCCAATCACTTATGCCTAACCTACAGCGGGACAAGCCAGAGCACTTGCCAATTGAGGTACGATGAAATCTGAGTACAACTCTCTATATTCCTTTTCCCTTTGGGTTGCAAACAAATGCTCTGAAGCCACTGCAGACCTTTTGGGTAACCTCTGCAGCCGAGTGGCAGAGATGCTGTGAGCAGTGTACAGCCCCTCCCCTTGGGTAAGGTTGTGAGTCTGTCCTAGTTGTGCATCTCGGATGCAGGCAGGCACAGTACGAACACGGGCACCTGGGGCTTGCCCCACAGGAGGGATACGCTCTTCTATTCGTTACGGAGACATTTTGCTCGTATGTATTTTAAAATAGAGAAAATTTTCTGTGCTGATATTTGCAGTATCTTAGTTCCATTAGACTGGACGAAATGGGAAACGGTGTTCTATGTATGCTCTGCATAGAGTGGATAATAATATTCTATGAGGTGATCACCCAGCTAATGTACTAAATCTTTGTTGTTACAGAATTCTGCACAGCCATGGGTCCCAGGCTCCCCCCCCCCCCATTTTCCCTTTTCTCAATACTTTTTTGAAATTCAAACTTAACCTTTTTTTATTAAAAACATTGCCAGCCCCTCTAGTCCTTTTGGAAGGGCCTCTTCAAGTGGGGCTTCAGTCCCGTCAAGGATGGTTACCAAGTTACCAGGTTTATTTCTAGGACTGACGTGGGCATGAGAAGAGTGGAGAGTGAAGGAGGCTGGATTTGAAAACGCATCTTCTCAAATGTTCACCCCTCTCCCCACTGCCATTCAATTGCATCTCATCGTCCTCTTCCTCAGTGGTTGCTTTTTGTGCCAAATCTCAAGTGGGCTGAGCGCGGGAACCAGGAACCAAGATGCCTCTGGATGTGCCCCAGCAGCGGGTGCAGTGAGAGCTGCGGCCAGCGGCCTCGGTTAAAGGGTTTCTGTATAGTTGCTTCCCGTCCTGTGCATTTTCTCTGGAGTGTTGTTTTTGCAGTGCAGGGTGAGTCGGTGTGGGTGTTTGAATGCTGCCGTTTGCTGTTTTTTAAAGGCCTACTAGCCCTCCCATGGGGTTACTGCAGCAGGAATTCTTACCTGTGCTTCAGCCCAGCATACAGACTGCTGACAGGTACCAAGTGGAAAACACCTGCTCATATAGTGTGCTGTTTGTCAACATGTTTTCCTGCCCATGGTCTCAGCTCTTTGTTCCTCAGTGCTCTTCTTCATGCTTTCTTTATTTTAATTTGTTCTGCATTCCTTGGCAAACCATCTGGTTGTAATATTGTAACATTTCTTATTTTTTTCCATAAGTTGCCAGTGTTTTTGTGTTCGATTTAAAAATCATTATGGATCTGGAAAAAAATGAGTTATATAAAACTGTGTCAGCTTAAGTGCACATTAGGCACTGAACTCTCTTTTGAGAAAACGTAAGGCATTCAGTGATAAATACTGAAGGATGCTGAAGCTTATTTTAAGTAAATGTTTACTCTTACATTTTTATACAAGTGCCAGTGTTAAAATTTTGGTCTCAGCTGGCATTAGCCCAGTATTTGCCTGTCACTGACACTGGTTTTTCAGACCTTCCTTTTCTGAATTGAAAATATTTGGTAGGCTAGAATGTCACATTTATTAGCTGATTTATCCTGTTCTTAAAACCACAAAAGCTAATTGTGTCCTTCATTCAAATTTACCAGAGGAATAGAGGCTCTGATAGACATTTGATTGAGTCGTGCTGCTCTTCATGTATGGAAACAGTACCACTGAACCATGATCACAGGATACAGTTTATTATATTCTTACTCGTATTAAGAAGAGAGTTTGCTTTGAATCGTCAACGCCCTTTACTGTCTGCAAATACTAGTGACTTTTAGTTGGTCAGAGTCGGCTCCAACTTGGGGCTGCAGTCTGGCTCCCAGAAGTGCAGTGTCTCAGGACAGCCTGAAGGTCTGTGTCTGTTCCCAGTGGGAGTGATGGCCTCGGCCTCACTGACACTGTGTCCTGATCACCAAGTGAACCAGCCAGACTTGACTAGAAGTGTCCATGGAGAACTGTATTTTCTCCATGCACCGCTGTTTTACTGCCTGGCTCCCGGGCAGCGTGGCGTATCCAGTCATATCTTTACTGGTCTGGCAAAGCTGGGGTGTTTTTACTTCTGTTGCATTGCAACTTTATGACCTTGTTGTACTTATTTTATATGATAATACAAGTTTTAAACAACAAACATTTTAGAGTGGTTTCAGGAGTTTTATTTTGGCCAATACATAAATCTCTAGTTTTAGTATACGTGCTGCCAAAGCAAGTGCGTAGAAATGCCATTCTGACCCGTTGCTGCCTCCGAGGGAAGTGAGGCAGTGCTGGGCTGGAGGTGCCTCTCTGTCTGAACCCACCAGATTACTGAACCAGTGTTAAAACTCCTTTTCATTGAGCCCACTGAATTTTGCTAGATTTTTCTTTTCCTTTCTTCATTTTGTCTTAAATTTTCTGGGGCATCCGTGTGATTCCCTCTGTGAAGCGCACCCTGTGAGTATAGCTGGAGACCTCCCCCCACATGCAGTCTCCTGAGCAATGGACTGGACCGGTCTTCAGGCGGTTCTGCTGGCCACTGGCTGTTGTTCAGTGACTGTGCTTCTGTCTCCCCACCTGTGCCAGACTCTTGTCTTGGGAGCCTCAGCTTCTGCTGCTTCTCCAGCAGACCTGGTCTGGCTGGGCTCAGCACCTCAGGAGCTGTCCTGTTCTGGCAGCACAGGGACAGACGGGCTTGTACCCGGCTCCCTGAGCCTTTGTGAGTCTTTCACGGAGCGCCACCCCCAGGGCCCAGGGCCTTACATTCAGCTGAGTGAAGGACTCATTTTGGTTTCCCTCCTCCCTGCTGCTGCCTCTGCAGTGTGGACTGGACCCAGTTGGCCCCAAGTAACTGAAGTGTGCACAAGTCACCATAGGGACACAATGTCAAAGCTACAGGAGTTCAAGAGCAGAGCAATTGACATTTTACTGAGCATTTAGATCTTTATTCTTTTATTGAGTGGGAGAGATGTCTCTCTAGTTTTAAGTCTTTCTGAAAAGGAATGGGCAAAGCGGGTGGTTCGGTTAGGGCTTTCCTTTTTAAAATTTCTTACTTGCACTCAGATTTTTGAGGTAGGCTTTACTCCTACCCCAGAGACCCTGACCTGTAAAACCAGTGCTAATTATGGTATCCTTCTGTTTCCCTGTCGCTGCCCTCAGGCACCACACAGTCACCCGGGGCATCACCAAGGGTGTGAAGGAGGACTTCCGCCTGGCCATGGAGCGCCAGGTGTCCCGCTGTGGTGAGAACTTGATGGTGGTGCTGCACAGGTTCTGCATCAACGAGAAGATCTTGCTTCTGCAGACTCTGGCCTGATGGGAGCCCTTTCCACCAGAGACCACCCAGAGCCCTGTAGTCTGGGGGAAGACATACGCCTTGATAACATTGCTTTACACCTCTTAAAGAGAAACCACCTGAGTTCGAACTCCTTGGTTGCTTAAAAATAGTTCCCAAGAACCGGAGAAGCTATTTCTATTTTTTAAAAGTCTTTTTTGTTTTGTTTTGTAATTTTTATAAAACAAAAGTATCAACCTCTTTTGTAAATAAAAATCATACTAAATTTGGAGATTTTAAAATTTTATTTTAATTCTTGAGTTTCTGAACAAGGGTGTACTTTACTTTAAAAAGACATTATTTCCCTGGCTGGTTTGGCTCAGCAGTTAGAGCATTGTGGGTTTGATTCCTGGTCAAGGGCACATACCTGGGTTGAAGGTTCAGACCCTGGTTCCGGTCAGGGTTGTATGGAAAGCAGCCAATCCATGTGTCTCTCTCACATTAATGTTTTTCTCTCTCCCTCCCTCCATCCCTTCCATTCTATCTAAAAATAATCAATGGGAAAATATCCTCAGGTGAGGATTAATGACAACAAGACATTATTACTTCCATGATCTCAGTATTTCATTTTCCAGTTAGGCTTTGGTTAAATATTACATAACACAATACTAGACACTTTCATTCAGGAAGTTTTTTGGGGTTTTTTTTGCCCATTTTATTTTTTATTTTATTTATTTTTTGAGAGAGAGTGGAAAGGAGGGAGGAAGAGAGAAAGAAAGAGAGACATCCATCGGTTGCCAGGGCCAGAAACCAAACCACAACTGAGGTATGTGCCCTTAACTGGAATCGAACCCGAGATTGGTCCGCGGGCCAACGCTCTAACAGCTGAGCCATACCAGCGAGGGTAGGAAGTTTTAATACCAAACACTTCTTTGCCAAAATGAACTTAAGTGGATTTCTGCTGAAGGAGTCGTGAGGGTTGGGAGCAGGGGTGGAGGGTGTCTGCCAAACAGCCCAGGAAAGGGAATGGTGGAGGGGACGTGCGGGCGCCCTGCCCCGGCCGCAGGCTGGCCCAGGCCCCTGCTGTCTGCCCAGGCACTCCAGGGCTAGCCCGCGGCCTCCGACCCATTCTGTGCGTCCCTGCACTTGCTGTGCACCAGGGACAAGTTTATTTCTGTCTGTCTCAAGTTAGTCGTGGGAGAAGCGGAGCTAGTGGCCCTCCCACCCGGCTTGCACTGCGACGACTTCATGTGAAATACTGAGAGGTGTGATGGCTGCCCTGTTCGCTCTCAGGTCTACGTGTTTCCCTTTGCTCTTCTGGAAACATATCAGTAAACAGCAAACAAACATTTATTTCTAGGGACACTTTAAGAATGAAAGAGCTAAGAAGTTAGTTACTTCGCATAACAAGTTTTAGAAATCTTTTCTAAATGAGGCCCTTTTTATAGATACAGTAATAGAAGGGTTTTGTAATCTCAGAAAATGTTTCCTCTAGCTCATTTTAAAGTGTTTATCAATTTAATATGAATTGAAAACAAATATATAAACTATCCTGTTGATTTTATCATGGAGTGTGTTCCCCACAGCTTTGAAATTAAACATGCTCTTACCTTTGGGTTTTGTAACACCTTCCACGTACTGGTGCTTGGAGGCAGCCTGCCTCGAGACAAGGCATTCTGTACCCAAATGGGTAGGCACCAGATAATACAGTCCTCTTTACCTATTTATTTAGTGGTGTGACCACAAACAGGATTAGTTAGAAAATCAAGCAGCTAGCCATGAAAGGTATGAACATCAGAGGGATTTCTACAGAGCAACTCCCAGTAGTCGGGAAAGAATTCCACCAGAGCCCAGATGGTGACAGACTGGGGAGTCTGCGCCCCGCACTGCAGGAGCAAGGCCGGAGGTCCTCGCGGCCAGCGTTTCCTGGATGGAACTGGCAGAGGGAAGCCAGCGTGGTGACACATCTGCCTACGCAGTGTTTGTCACACGATGAGATAAGGGGTTTATGAAGTCAGCCACTGTGTACAAATATCTAGCAGTTGTATCAGCTTTGAATTTGGAAACGCATGTAGCCTGAAGAAAAACAATATTTTGGAACCAATGCCCAAAAAATACTGATTACCAAGAGAAAAATGGCTGGCTACACTGGTGAAGAATTAGAGTATACAAACATGCAACTAAAGACAAACTGGCGATGGGTGTGCCCATCTAATTGTACAGCCCCTCCCAAAGGAGGACATCGACGTCCTCCGCACAGCCATGGGCTTGGGCAAAACAGTTACCTCACTGCTGGTTTCCTAAGGTTCGTGAGGCACTGTAGCCAGTGAGACAGGGGAGAGCTGCTGAGGCTTCCGGGGGGTTTCCTGGCTATTAAAGCACACAGAGGGGATGCCCTCTCCCAGAGCGCGTCTCGTTGCCCAGTGTGTGGCCGTGTGGCCGCCACGCAGCAGTCCGCGGCCCTGTCGTGAGCGGGCTGAACAAGCAGGTGTGCGGGAGCCGGCCCGCCTCAGGCCTTCTCTTGTGACATAAACTTCTCTTAGAACCAGCTGAACCAGGATTTCCTGTTCTTACAGTTCAGGACGTCCTAACGGACAGATTCCCCAATTTAAGAACAGCTTCTGGATAACTTGCTGGGATTTGGGGTGACAACTGTGACAGCCCATCATGACTCACTGCAAGAGAAGTCAGCAGCAGGTGTCCTCAAAGGAGACTGTCTCCATACACATTCGCTCCACAAACATGTCCATACAGCACTCCAGACACTAATTTTATCAGCACTTAAATATTAAAAACAAGACAGCCGCCATTGCTTTGCTTGATAAATGTTTATTTCGTGCCTGCTACGTGTGAGGTACTGTTTGTGCCGCGAATATGCAGAGGAGCAAGGCATATAATTCTTGCCCTTAGCAAGCTCACAGTCTAGCGAGGCAAGCTAGACATGTGACCAACAACTATCATGCAGTGACAGAAGCCAGGAGATCGATCCCAGTAAAGTATTATGAGAATGAGAGATTAGAAAGGTGCCTTAGAAGCAGGGGGTCTAAAGTTACTTGTCAAATGCAGATAGGAGAAAAATAAGTGGAAAAGTAATCCAGGAAGACTACAATCCAAGTCAGAAGCCGGGAGTCCGGAGAAGTGATGGATGTGGGAGGGTCTGGTTGGGCCAGAATGAGGAGGGTGGGATAGGGGTGGGGAAGGAAAGCTGGGCTCAGCTGAGGACGGTTATGTACGCCCGGCAACGCCGAATCAAATTCAGTGGAAGTTTTTATAGAGGTGATGTGCTCTGAGCTCTGCTCCATAGAGCTTACTCTAGTGACGAGCAGTAGTGACTTTGTGGAGGGGGGATTGAGGAAGGAGGCAGCCAGTATAAAAAGAAAGACAAGCGTCTGCACTAGAGTAATAAAGTATTAACAATGAGAATAAAGAAGACACGGGAATATGGAGACAGACTTGGGAAGACTTGGCAATGGCTAGTGGTGGTAAAAGCGGGGATAACGGAGGTGGGTGAGTGAAGGACGGTGGCAGTTTTTTTTTTTTCCCTCACCCGAGGACATTTTTCCATTTTTTGTTCAGATAGAGCGGGAGGGAGAGAGAGGAAGAGAGAGAGAGAGAAACATCGATGTGAAGGGACACATCGAGTGGCTGCCACCCGCACGACCAACCAGGGCCGGAGACAAACTGCAACTGAGGTACGTGCCCTTAGCGGGAACCGAACCCGGGTCTCTCCGGACCGCAGGCCGACGCTCCAACCGCTGAGCCAAACCGGCCAGGGCCGGTGGCAGTTTTATACCTACAGACGAGGATGATCCGTATTCACAAAGCTAGGAAAATCCAAAAAGGAAAAGGTTTGAATTTGGGAAAAGGCAGGAGAGGGTGAGCCCGGATGCTGGCGGACATCCAGGTGGAGGGGTTCAGAGGCAGCTCCCAGTTCAGGGAGGGGTCTGAGCTGGAAGCACAGACTAGGAAGCCATGCAGGGGGGACCGTGGAAGCAACGCGAGCTGGCCCCGCCTCGCCACAGCCCCAAAGCACAAGCTATCGCCACATTCCCTCCCAGGAAGTTCATAAGTATGATGATGCATCATATGAAAAGCGCTGTTTCTCTTTGCGTGCTCTCCTAGCCTCACTCCTGAGAAACGACGTCTTCACTTTTCATTCCAAGCAGGAACGGTGCCTCCACTGTGGAGGGTCATTCTGAAAAGACTTACTCCAATGAGAGTTTTTTAAACTTTTCATTATCACTTATTTTGAAGAGTTTTCTGTAATAAAATGATTTTTCTAAGGATTTCAGCAAAGCTACTGATGTGCCCCACCTCACTGAGCAGCCGAGAGGTCCTCACGATCTCCCTCATTTCACACATGGGGAAACTGGGACTCAGACAGGCCAAGGAACTTGTCTGGCATCTCACGAGGCCAGGATGGCAACGCTGGAGCCACAGGTAAGACTGTGCTTTTCTCTTCCGCAGCTATGTCCCTGGGTACCAGCCACCATCTATTACACGGCGACAGACAGGTGGTAAGTAGGTGGGTGGCTAAACAGATAGAGTTGATTGATAGACAAGTAAATAGATAGGTACATAAACAGATAATTAAGCAAGAGTAGCTGAGAATAACACATCTACATTTTAACTTTTTTTTTTTTCAAGTAGGAAAAAGAGAAAATGGCTTCTGACAGAAAGGCATGTTTTTTGGACCCACCAATGCCTTGCAGACCTGAAAGGGAAACTACCCTTTCTTGAAATATTTAACTACACTTTACACACACACACGCACACACATTAGACTACACGTCACATTCGGTGAGCTTTCGCGTCAGCCACAGCAGGGACGATGGTGCCCGTGGTTGGCATGTACCCACACGGAAAGGCCGTGGGCAGGAAAACAAGGTCAGAAAGACTCAGACCTTAGGTTGTTTCATCCGTCACAGAAACAAACACCTGTGGTCATTCCCTTTGGAAAAGTTATCTGAGAAATCCTTAGAACAGAGTTCCAAATCCATCCACTGATGCAGAAGATGAAGAAAAGGACAACGAGGCGCCAAACACTGAAGCCCCAAACACACAGGCCGAGTTCTGATGAGCCACAGTCAGCCGGCCCAGTGCACCAGCATCTTCCCCAATAATGTGGCAATACACACCCTACCGACTTTCTAGTCAACAAGTCCCTTTCCTAAAGGCTGCGTCCACACTCCCCCCGGCCCACCAGAGCCCGCCAGCAACACGCTTCAGCTGCAGCGATCAGATTTTCCAAAACACCTTCTTTCTATAGAGAACGTAGGCGACGAGCACCCAGACAGTGGTGGCGACAAGGTTCTGCACGAGGTGCTCTCTGTGTGACTGGTTGTCCTGCAGCCTCCACTGGAAGGGGAAGTAGTTCTCCAACACCTCGTGGCCGACGTACACCAGGATGGAGTTCATGCCTGAGGGAGAGAGTCAGACTGCCGTGTCTTCCTGGGCCACCTCGGCTCATCTGTTTAAATTCTTGGAATTTGATTTTAGTTCAGTGAAAAAACCCAAAGAGCACACTGATATCACTGGCTACTGCTGAAAACAAGTGACACGTATCTTAGATACTTATGTGTAAACCATACAAAAAATTATTAGGAAATACTCATTTCATAACTGATTGGTGAATACTACATCTGAAAGGAAAGCCAAAGTTGTTTTTTTTTATCCTCACCCGAGGACATTTTTCCATTTTTTGTTCAGATAGAGTGGGAGGGAGAGAGAGGAAGAGACAGAGAGAGAGAAACATCGATGTGAAGGGACACATCGAGTGGCTGCCACCGCACGACCAACCAGGGCCGGGGACAAACTGCAACCGAAGTACGTGCCCTTAGCGGGAACCGAACCCAGGTCTCTCCGGACCGCAGGCCAACAGGAAAGCCAAAGTTTTAACTTAAATGATCTCACAGAAAACTCGAGGTCCAGGGAAAGCAACTATTTCTAGAATCATAGTGATGAAATGGGTCTCCCGGCGGAACTGCACTGGAGCCGCTGTGTGTGTGTCTCTCGACACCATCCCTCGAATGTTCTCAAGCATCACCTGTGAGGCGGTGCGTTTACAGTAAGAAAGTACGGCCCATCTCTGAAGCATGAGAAACCAGATGACAGGCCCTGAATCACTGCCTGAGGAAAGACCAAACAGACCTGTGTGGGTAAAATGGGTGGACTGCCTCAACAGGCCGGCGACGCCCCGCGTGGCCTGAACTGCGTGGCCCTGCTGCTTTCTCCCTCAGCCTGTGCCTCGGAGACAGGCCAGCGGGCCGTGGCTCGAGGCCCCCGCACTGGGCGCACTCAGCTGGTCTCTGGACCAGTCTAGTTGGTCGCTGTCATCGACTCTGTTCGGGGTCAGAGGTGACTTACCTGGGTAAAAGAATGGGGTTCCCGTCCACAGTCCCTTCACATCCACGATGGGGTACAGGATGAGCAGGATGAAGAAGGCAAAGGAGCCCAGCGTGGTGACGTAGGAAATGGACCTAGGAGGAGGTGAACGAGGTGACAGGTTTCGGGGCTCCTGAGAGGACACCAATGTCAGCACGGCCAACCATCAACCTCGAGTGACACTGTTTTCTGTACCTACCAGAGATTTTTGTTTATGGGGATAAAGCCTTCATTTTCAGAAATTTTGGTCAAAGCAGCAGAGATGAGCCCCTAAAATGGGGAGAAAGATGTTCAGGGTTTTTTTATTATCTCAAAAAACAATTATGTTTCAAAACTGAAAAATATTACTTATTTGATTGCTTAGGGAGGGCTGAAAATTGTGTAATATCTTATTCTTTTAACTGGAACCATATTTTTAAGATGCATAACTAAAAATAATTCTCTAAAAATATCTTTTCAGCTTTGCTCTGAGCTGAAGGTAAACTAAGTACACATTAGAGTGAATCCCGCCAGGAAACATGATTGCAAAGTCAGGGGTGAAAAACAGTTGACCTACAACTTCTTTGTCACCTACAAATCTGGAAGCTGATGCTTGGAAACCTGTTACCATTTGCCTGGTCTTTCTGGTAGGGCTCCCCACCAAGACCCATGCCTTGGCTCTGTTTCTTCATGCATTCCTGGCTGGCTGCTGAGGGCCAACGCTGACTTATTTATAAATACAGTTTCCTAAAAAAATAAACTTGAGAATTTAGGTGGAAAGATTTGTTCCTCTCTGTTACTCAACTAAAGAAAGCTGCCCTGGTACGTAGCTCAGCTGGTTGGAGCGTCGTGCCGTACACCAAGAGGTCGCATGCAGGTTCCGTCGGGGGGACGGTGCAAATGGGAAGCAACCGATCAATGTTTCTCTCACATTGACCTTTCTCTCTCTCTCTCTCTCCCCCCTCTTCTCTCTCTAAAATCAATAAAAACATATCCTCGTGTGAGAATTAAAAAAAAAGAATGCCACCTGTTGCGATGTGGTGACAGCTGATACATCAGCATTGCTAAACATTTTTCTTTTAAGTATGTGTGTGTGAAGAAAAGGGATTTTAGGGAGAAACATCGGTTACTCACTAGAAAACAACACCAGGCAGTGAATCTGATCAGGATGCCTTTGGTCTGATCTTTGTAATACAAGAGTATTTTTCCTGCCTGGAAAAGAAAACACAGTGTGACCAAGAGAATCACCTACGATACATTCTTATTTCATATCCACCCATTCAACTGACTCCTCTGCCAGGCACACTGCTAGACACTGGGATTACAAAGAGGAAAGGCACATTACCCCAGCCCTTGCCTAGAGGAGACTGTGAGGGGCACGTGGGACCACTTGTGGGGAGGAAGACGAGAGACGCAGTGCCGTGGAATTGAAGCTCTGAGTGAAAAGCAGGAACAGCACTCGGGCAGACTGGAACGGCATGCCCAGAAGCATGTCAGAATGGGTGAAAAGCCCAGCACCCCTGAGATGGGGCAGGCAATTCAGAAAGGCTGCAGGGTGGGGAGGGCGTGCAGACTTTCAGGTCTCACTGAGAGGCATTGGCTTTCTCCCACAGGTGATAGGAAGCCCAGGAAAGTCACTTTTTTCCCCAAAAACAGTACCAACGGACCAGCTCAGACTGGCCTGACAGAGGCCCACGCTGGCAGCGGTGTAGAAGGAATACAGGAACAAGATGGAACTGAAGGCAGGGACATTTTAAAAAGTAAAATCTGACCCAGCTGGTGTGGCTCAGTGGTCGAGCATCGACCCATGCACCAAGAGGTCGCCGGTTCGATTCCTGGTCAGGACACATGTCCAGGTTGTGGGCCAAATCCCCAGTGGGAGGCATGCAGGAGGCGGCCAATCGATGTTCTCTCAGCGATGTGTCTCTCTCTCTCTCCCTCTCCCTTCCTCTTTCTCTAAAATCAATAAAGAAAAAAAAAGAAAAAGTTTTCTTTAAAAAAAAAAAAAATCAATGGAAAAAATATCCTTGGGTGAGGATTAACAACAACAAAATTTCAGCCCCTTAGCCATACTGGCCACAGTTCGAGTACGCAGTAGCACACAGAGAGCACAGATACAGAATGTTTCCATCATCGCAGAGCGTTCCATTAGTGCGATGTGCACATTTCTCCTTTCCCAGTAAGCGCCCCTCAAGTAACAATTTCAAATACCAGTGAGGAGAACTTTGGGAAGAAAAAGCTAGACTGTTCAGAATTTTAACATGTGAGACAAACCAAGAATAACCTGTACTGACTTTGTCTTAAAATATGCATAACCTGAAACCATGTAAAGTGTACACCAAAAAAGCGTGCAAGTGACTCAGTGATGCCCAACACCACCCGCACCAAACGCTCTGCACCGTCCAGCAGGGGAATATTTTATCCAGAAACCGCTGTGCATATAGAAATTATACTTAATTATTTGAATGTGCTTAATTTTAGCAACTTCTCTTTTTGACTATTTGTCAAACACAAACACATTTTTTGATCTGTAATATACAGATGATGATTCCAATTACTTTTTTTTTTCATTTTTGGATATTTTGGACATTTTTGGATATTTTGTTCAGATAGAGTAGGAGGGAGGGAGGGAGGGAGGGAGAGGGAGAGAGAGAGAGAGAGAGAGAGAAACATCGATGTGAAAAGGACACATCGAGTAGTTGCCACCCATACAACCCAACCAGGGCCGGGGACAAACTGCAACTGAGGTACATGCCCTTAGCGGTAACCGAACCCGGGTCTCTCAGGACCGCAGGCCAATGCTCTAACCACTGACCCAAACCGGCCAGGGCTGATTCCAATTACTTTTAATGAAACAGTTTTTAAATCAGTGATGAATCAGAAATCACAAACTGTCAGAAAAATGTCTCCTAGTGAAATGAACAAATACCTGAACTCCTAAAAATGCCATCACAATGGAGTTGATGGTCCCGAGGATTCCTTCGGGGTCGTAGGCCACCGTGGTGTGATACAGCACCTAACACAGCAGAACGAGGAGGCAGCATCACACCCTGGCCACGAAAACGCACACAAACAACTCGCAGACAAAATACAATCTTCAACACACTCCAATATTTGATGTGTCTTGTTTTTACTGCAGAAAGTAATTGCCAGCTTGTGGGGATTATCAGCAGATACTCTGGCCAAGAAAGTGTGTGTGTGACCCTTCAGAAGGGACACAGAGACCAAGGACGAGCCATGGTCCAGAGCAGCCACTTCAACTTCAGATGGATTCATGACATGACACATCCTAACCATATGCTATGCATTTGATACAATGTATTCTCATTTTAAAATCCAAAGTAATGTTTACATACTGCCCCATAATGAACCCTGAAGTCACTAAAGTCAGTCCCTTTTTCAAATAAAAATTAATTCCCATCATAGTCTATTAAACGGACCTACAGCTGAAAGTTGGCCAGCCCTTTCTATTTTCCTTCCCTTCAGAGCTCCTAAGTGTCCAGCTCGAAGCACAAGCCCGGGTCACTCACGGTCGAGGAAGGATGCTGGTAAATGTGGTCATCTCCCAGAAGCACGCGGTCAATGTAGCCAGCAGCTCCTCCGGTACAATTCGGATACTGCCCCCGATCTCCAATGCCGCCAGGACCAAGATAGCCCCTGGGGAAGGAAGTGAGAACACGTGCTTCCATGACAAGACTCCAGAGGAGATGAGAGCACACACTGGCTGTGCATACCGCCCAACAGAGAGCCGCAACAGTACCAGCCCGGGAACCCCCCTTGCGCCATCTACTCGCCTAGGACCTTTTGACTTGACTGCCCCCACATGTTAAGACTCAGCAATTTCCACTGAAACGGACCCCGAAATAACCTCACAGGGACACTCCTCTGGACACACACCAAACCCTCCTCCCAACATGCAGTAGGCCTCAGAGGAGAAGGGGTGGAAGAGGATTCCTTTGACTTGGGAAATCTGAAAGCACAGCCCCAAAGGTCTGCCGTGGCAGAAAATGGCATGCACGGAGGGATCACCTACACGAGGTCACTTACGTAGGGCATCCAGGAACAGGCAAGAAGAAAGTCAAGGCCAGCCAAACACCTTCTAGCATCAGAATGAAGAGCCACTGTGGCCAGCTGGACGTGACGTCTTGAAGAGAAGAGCATCTTCTCTCCTGAGTGAGGGCATAAAACACACACACACTAAATGCAAGTAGAAGAGGAAATAATATGCAGTATGTGTGTTTGGAAAACTCCCTGTGATTCTTCTTTTGGCCTTTACTGTAGAAATGCAAAAATACAAGCATGTTCATTTCATATGTGTGATGTGACCTAGTTGTTCCCTCTCCATGAAATATCACAGTAAGACATTAGTTAAAAAGAAATCCACAGCCCTGGCCGATTTGGCTCAGCGGTTAGAGCGTCGGCCTGCGGTCTGGAGAGACCCGGGTTCGGTTCCCGCTAAGGGCACGTACCTAGGTTGCAGTTTGTCCCCAGCCCTGGTTGGTCGTGCGGGTGGCAGCCACTCAATGTGTCCCTTTCACATCGATGTTTCTCTCTCTCTCTCTCTTCCTCTCTCTCCCTCCCGCTCTATCTGAACAAAAAATGGAAAAATGTCCTCGGGTGAGGATAAAAAAAAAGGAAAAGAAATCCGCAGACAATTCCACTCCTACACCCAAGAGAACTGAAAATAGATGTTCACACAAAAACTTGTACACGAATGTACACAGACTCATTAAAATACATAATGGCCAAAAAGTGGAAACAAGTCAAGTGTCTATCAACTGATGAATGGATAATAAAGGTGGTACATTCATAAAATGGAATGCTATTCACCAAGGAATCAAGAAATAATACATGGCACAGCATGGATAAACCTTGAAAAATATTATGCTAAGTGAAAGAAGCCAGACACAAAAATCTCTCACATCGATGTTTCTCTCTCTCCCTCCCACTCTGTCTGAAGATAAATGTAAAAATATCCTCAGGTGAGGATTAAAAATAAATAAATAAAAATCAATTCTAAAATGACTGATACAGACTAAGTAAAAATAACTGAAGGAAAAAGGATATGTCTGACTAACAGCATCAATGAGTCTACTGAAATACAGTACTGCACTCAGAACTAAAGAAAGTTCTAAAGACTAGAGATTCCGTGTGTGTGTGTGTGTGTGTGTGTGTGTGTGTGTGAACAGGATTTCTCACCAAGGCACCACTTTCAGGCACAGGCTTTGCACACAGGAGCTCTAACACAGCAACCACAAAGTAAGTGACCCCCAGCCGCTGCAGCACTCCCGGGATCCGCACCTTATCCCACGACACTGCGGGAGGTACAAGTTAGGGGAAGGTTAGCCAGCATTTCTCAGCTCAGCCCAGGACATTGCTTTTTTCTAAGGGGGAAGACACACCTGTATTGCTCCTGAGTGCATCTTCTCTAAGCTCTCAGAGATGGAAATACTACATAAGGTCAGGAGAGAGGGCTCAACTCAGAGCAGGAAGCCGGCCAGAGGAGAACAGAAGTGTCTTCCTCGGGTGTGGGGATGAAGCAAGGACTACCCTTGGTCCTGAAGTTTATCTCCTGGTCCTTCCTCATAAGAACATGGGTTCAGCTCGCAGTCCACCCATGGACTCGCCCTGCCCTGCAGGCAGCGTGGCCGCATCACTAGAAGAGGGCACACTACAGTGTACCCTCCCGTGAGCGGTGGCCCGCTTCTGGAGATCCACTGAGTCAACTTTCATGTGACGTCTGCCCTTGTGACCCCAACTAGCAGTAACCTTTACTTCCTCCTAACACCTAGTCTTAGTGCTTCTTGCCTGAGGGGCTCATTGGGCTGGTGTCTAGATATCTGTGTCCATTTTTGCTAATGGCCCTTGAGGACAGTAACCACTGCCTTCCTGGATTCGGATTCAGATGCTGAGCCCAAGCACAGGACTTAATCTTCCCTTCAGCTTTCCTGTCTCAGTCACGCTGCTAACACAACCGGCTGGCATAGGTGGTATCTGAGATACCGCACAACAGCCTTATTACGAAAGTTACTGAAACCAAAGTCACAGGAGAGCAGGGTCTGAGAACCAGGTGACCTGGCCTGGTCCCCGCTCTGCCCCTCACTACATTTCGATAATCTGGAGAAAGCACTGCAATCTCTCGTGGCAGAAGATGAGTTTGGGTGGTCTTGGAGGTTCCTCCCAGGTCTAAAAGTCCAATGGAACAACAATAATGCCCAAAGTTATACAAGCATTCTATATAATTTTCTAATAACTGTTCTTTCTGTAGGTACCTGAGATGGAGGAATTACACTTCTTCGAATTACATGTAGTTTCCATATTTCAACCTATATATATATACTAAAAGGAGAAAAATGCTTACATGGACCAAGACAATAATTGGGGTTCACGATGATAATTCCTATAGAGATTAATAGGAAACTCCTCCACGCAACTTTCCCCAGCAGTCTGCACTTCGAGCATCCCCGCTGCAGTATGGAAGTCATTGACAGAAAGATCGAGGATCCCATTATAAACACAAACCTATAAAAAAAAACCCAGCTATTACTAGGTGCCCATTCCCAATTTTCTGTCTATATATCATTAATATTTTATATTCTACTACACAAGAGAAGCAACACATGATTTTTAAAAGTAGTCAGTTACTGAAATGACACCGGGTTAATAGTGGAGAAGACATCACAATGTAGCCCTGCTGGGCTGCAAGGTCTGTGCACCTGAGTCCTGTCTTAGAGGAAATTCTTCAGTCCTAAGTGCGATTTCCAAGAACAAATGTCCCATTTAATTATCAGAGAGAAATGACAATGGATATGCTACAATCCAAATAGCTCAACATTCATTAGCACACCCTCCAAGTCCTTGAGAAACTAACCACACACTTCAATCATTTCTAACTTCACTCTTGCTCCTGAAAGAAAAATGAAAGCTTTGTTTTTTTTCTAATTTTGTCTGAGCTACAGATCTCTTTTCTTTCCTTTCTTTTACCATACTAAATTACCTCTTTAAGAGAAGTCGGAATAGTAGTTTCTCTACTTATTTGTGGAAGGGTTAACAGAGATGAGTGTGCTCTTGCTACACTCCTCCACATCCCCTGGCTTCCTTTCTGGGGTCACACAATCAGATAAAGGCCCCTGGAAACAGGAACCAAGCCATTTTTCTGTAGTGAAACGTACAGAGAATATATGCAAATAATTACTAGGTCTGCAGGCTTGTAAAAGATCCTCCTATCCAAACCCATCTCAAAAAGGAGCCCCCCAGTCCTGCCCAGTGTGGCTCCGTTGGCTGGGCGCCATCCTGTGCAATAAGAGGTGGACAGTTTGATATCCAGTGCCCGGTTGTGGACTTGATCCCCAGTAGGGGGCAGTAGGAGGCAGCCGACTGATGTTTCTCATCCATGTTTCTCTCTCTCTCCCTTCCTCTCCTTTCCTCTCTCTCTAAAAATCAATAAAAACATTTTTTTAAAAGAGTGACAAAAAACAAAAGAATCCCCAGCTCCCCACATCCCAAAAACCCTGAGTTCACGTTAGTGATGAAATATAAGGGGCCACAGACAGCAACCGACAACCAGGACCACCCCCGGATTATGGCACAAAGTCACTCAAGGGGTCACAGCAAAGACACAGGTTCCACCTTGTGCAGGAAGCCAGGGTCCATCAACAAGGGTAACAAGCTACACAGAATAGGCAGTGTTTGGTTACTCCACCGCTCTTCCAAATTTTACTCTAGAACATCACTGTCCTGTTACAGACGTACCAGAATTCCCTGATAGCAATATACTGTTTCTTTTAGAAATTATTTTTATATTTACTTTCAGGATTAGTCATATTTACATATGCAGAATTTATAATTTCCTACAAGAGTCCACTACGCTAACAAAACGTTCCCTCTGACATCACTCATCTTTTATACGTATATATACAGATAAGCACTGTGCGAAGTACAGAATTATTCAGTAACACCACTTTCGGAAGGAGCCCGTAACAGCAGAGGCTGTGAGTAGCACAGGCCTGCGGCCCAGAACTCGACTGCTCTCAGAGAGAGGCTTCAGCCTCGGCGAAAGGAAGGAATTGCAGATGACCGGCAGCAGAGCCGCGGCAGACTGCTAACTCACCATGGGAATACAAGGTCAGCCACCGTCAGTCCTGCAGAGAAACACACACACATAAAGTAAGGAAAAGGACTCTAGAGTGTGAATACTTTCTTAATCTAGAGTGGCCCCATTCTATTCTAAGGTATAGGAAAAGTAAACTCAGAGTTCAAAGGAAAACACTGTGAAGTAACACACACAGGCACTCCAGGGGGACTCTGCAGCCCGTCCCTGGGCCTAGCGCATTGCCTAAGCGCATAGCTGGGCCCGGGAGAACCAAAGGAGAAGTTTGTGGACAAGTCTGTTACCCTTAAGCAGTACTATTCAAAATCCATTCTTAAGCCAACCCCCAAGGCAGATGCACTGCCGTCACTCAGCACCCATCAGACCACGCTCAGGTCAATGGCACCCCAAGGACGACCATGAATCTCAGACAGCATGTACATGGCTGTACTGAAAGGCACATCTAGAACATGACAAGAATCATTTACAACTAAGTTCTTGACGACATCTGCAGAGTCCCACAGTCCTATAGCAGAGACCTTGGACTCTACATATTATCACAGTGAAGCATTACAGAGCCACAGAACACACAAAAAAGAACAACAAAATAACCTAAAGGTCATTCTATGGGGGCAGGAGCTCAGCAGACCCAAGGAAGCTGCTGGGGCCTCATCTCTGGCTCCTGGGGGACACCAAGTAACACTTCTGCCCACAGTTCTTAGAAGGGGTCCTACTTAAGCAATGCTACCTTCAGGAAATAACTTACCATTCCAACTGGCGTGTTTGAAGTACCAGTATTTTCCTCCTCCATAATTAACGAAGACCATGACGATGAGAGCTATCCTGGAAAGCAAGAAGGAGCACACTTTCAGGGCTCACGCATGTGACAAAGAATGGCCTGACTGCCAGGGACACACTTGCAATCACAAGGCACAGTTATGACACAAGAGGACACTGACAGAGCGAGGAATGATTACTTCTCATCGCTACAATTAGGACCCTACACCAAAGTCTCTCTGTTGCCAGTATTTCCAGCATGACAAAGTGTTAAGAAAAATTTACACTGACAGTAAACTGCATAACTTGAAAACAAAGCAAAACATTCTCAATCTCTCAATGTTGTGATAATTATTTAGGTGTCTCAAGTTCTTCAACTGTTGAAGGCATACAGTTAATACAGTCAGAGCGGAGGTTCAAATCTTGGGTCCTTCTCTCTTATGAGCCATAAGACCTTGGGCAAGACTCTGATCAGGAACCTCAGTGTGCTTCTCTGTAAAAGAGGGAACCTACCTCACGCAGGAAACACTGGGACTCTTAAGAATAATGTACATTACAGCACCTAACCAGGGCTTGGCAATTTTAGGCACTTAATAAATGTTAGTTCCTGTCTACCTGTGAACATTTTATCTCCAAAAGCGGAAATGAGAATCAGAAAGAAAGAGAAATACAATAAAACTGATTCTGGATATGCTACTGTTTTATGTGAATTCTGCAGAATGCAGGGAAGGAAGACTTTAGTATGCTAATGGGTGATCTGTAGGGACTCTGGAGCCCAACTGCCTAGAATCAAATCTTGGCTGTCTCAGTCCCTGAGTGAACTTGGACAAGTTATTCAACTCTGAAGCTCAATTTCTTCATCTGTGAAACGGACATATTAAAAGTATATACCTCATAGGATTGTTAAGAAAGTAAATAAATTAAGACAAATTGAACAGTGGCTGGCACGTGGTGAGAACTCAAAAGTGTTGGCAATTGTTATTATTATCTTTTTTGTTATTATTACCTGGCTTCAAATATATACACCAGAAGCACTCAGAGCTTTGGTGAGGCTGGGACAAAATTATAAGGTTATTACTGGAGTTTAAAAGACCTCAGTGAGCCTTGGCCGGTTTGGCTTGGCAGTTAGAGCATCATCCCATGGACCAAAAAGTTAAGGGTTCGATTCTGGTCAAGGGCATGTTCGTCGGTTGTGATTCGATCCCTGGCCCCGGTTGGGGTCGTACGGGAGGCAACCAATTGATGTGTCTCTCTCACATCAATGTTTCTCTCTCTCCCCCTCCCTCCCACTCTATCTGAAAATCAATGGAAAAATACCCTCGGGTGAGAATTAAAAATAATAATAAAAGACCCCAGTGAGTAGAAATGGAAGGCCTGATACCTAGATATTTATTTTCAGTTATATAATTTTACACTTCATTTATGGAGTTTGGTCCTGGCCTTCATTCTTCTACCAGAACTATGAAATAATAACAGTTTACTATATGACACTGTGGATTTATTATCAAAAAGTCCTGACAGCCCTGGCCAGTTTTGCTCAGCAGTTAGAGCATCAGCCTGCGGTCCAGAGAGACCCGGGTCCGGTTCCCGCTAAGAGCACATACTTCGGTTGCTGTTTGTCCCCGGCCCTGGCTGGTCGTCTGGGTGGCAGCCACTCAATGTGTCCCTTTCACGTCAATGTTTCTCTCTCTCTCCCTCCCACTTTATCTGAACAAAAAAATGGAAAAATATCCTTGGGTGAGGATAAAAAAAAAAAAAGTCCTGACAGTCTAGCTGTTTTGCTAGGGCGGTGAGGGCTGAGGACTGACTCCTTTGAGTGTGGTGTTTCCTTTCTAGACTGGCGCGTCTTCTCATTTGTCAAGCTCCTGACCGGACATGGGGGTGCAAATGGACGTGGGGGACTCGAGCACAGCTCCTTGCCCAAATGCAAATGACCTTAACTCAGCAGAATCTACCTGCCGCTGGGAACTCGCTCTGGTCTTGGCCCACCACTCCTCTCTACCGACACCGTGTACTGGCTATCATGCCGCCTCTCGAGTAGAGAGGCTGCTGCTTTATTTTTATAGCAAGAAATCCTTTCCAGCCTAGAAAGTAAAAGATATATAAAGTACCTTAATGTAAAAGTGCATTTATGTATAAACATGTACTCTTAGACTATCTATGCCCACCGTGGCACAAGGGAGCCCGCGTACCCTCTGAATGTGTCCACGCAGCGGAGGCGCAGAGGCACCACGGACGGACGCCAGGCTTCGGGCTGGGCATCTTCACCGAGCTGGCCTGCCCTGCTTGGAGAGCCCAGCTCCTTCAGAAAAAAGGGGAGAAGGACAAGATAATTTATGACACGAGGGAGTAAATGTCACTGTTCTGTTGTTTAGGGAGAAATTAACAGAGTGGAAAGCTAAAGATCGTTGTTCTGAACAATGCTTCGATTTGCTTTTGTAAAGATCCCATCTGGAGGTTTGGTTTTTCGCTTTATTTCGTTCTGTGCCTTCTGCTGAGCTCACAATGCCCATGTTGATACACAACCACAAAGAACTGGCCCGTAAGGGCATCTGGTATAAGTGTACAAGCAAGTATGTCCACAAATAGACATACATAGTCCATAATGAATTTTTTAACACAAGTAATATGCTTAGTTATCTCAGTAGGCTATCACATTTATAGATTCAATACTGATGTCTCTCTTGTTTTAGTAGTGACACTCTCTGCCTAACTGGACTGACTCAACAGTACTGCCTGCAGAGTGAAAATGTTCCATCATGCACCACAAGGCAGCCTGGAGTCCCACCTCACTGAAAACACAGAAGGGACAGTGTCTTGCAGAGGAGCTGAGAGAAGGCAGTGCTTTATTAAGAATACAGGACACATGACCTCCACAATATAAATAAGATTAATTAAGCGAGATACTAAAAATTATGAAATAATTTGTAAATTCCAAATCTAGAAAACCACCCAGACCACACATGATGCAGTCTAATAACTCACAGAGTTGATGAGGCGATCGGTTTCCCGAGAATTTATTGTTTTAGAAATCCAATTATTAAAGTCATCCAAACTGCAAATAAATAAAAGTCTCAGTTAATTTATTTTCTTTGGCAGAATGTTCAAAATCATATTAATAACTAATAAAAAATTTAAAGTTCATTTTCCACACAAGTCAAAGAATGAAAACATTTTAATTTTTTAACAAAACATAAGTAGAAATCAAAGTTTATAGCAGTAGTTATTTTTAAATGTTCAACTCTTATAGCATAGTTTCCTTATCAATAAAAATAGGAATAAAGATAAGAGCCTTCATTCAAGAGTTGTTGTAAGGGTTTAATGAGATTATTATTCCCTGTGGCTAGAATTCTTATTAATAATACTATTAAAATTAAAATAGCAAGAAATTTCGAACAAACACTCAATACAGAAGTGATTAAACACAGTAAAAAACAGCTGTGTAACAGGGTGAGGTGCAGCGATTAAAATAAGAACGTGGCCTCTGCACACAAATATAACTGTGAAGAACACAAAGCAAAAACTCATTACACAGACTCAATTACGACGAAATAAAAATGCACATATGCATACTGCGAAAGTTTGAAAGTAACTCTGGAGTAATTCAAATTAATTTAATTAATATATTGGGTTCTTTTTTTCTAGAAGGGTACTTTAGTTCTAAAAGACATCCAGATGATATAAACTGATTTATATGATTAACAAGAGAAAAATACATTAACTGGTTTTTCTTTAAAATGAGATTTCTACTTCCCACATGTTTTTGTTTTTTTTTTTTATCCTCACCCGAGGACATTTTTCCATTTTTTGCACAGATAGAGTGGGAGGGGGAGAGAGGAAGAGAGAGGGAGAGAGAAACATCGATGTGAAGGGACACACCGAGTGGCTGCCACCCGCACGACCAACCAGGGCCGGGGACAAACTGCAACAGAGGTACATGCCCTTAGCGGAAACTGAACCCGGGTCTCTCCGGACCGCAGGCCGACGCTCTAACCGCTGAGCCAAACCGGCCAGGGCCCCCACATGTTTTATATAAATGTTGCACATTTGAACTATCCAATGAAGGGGATTTTTTTCCTTTTCTTTCTTTTATCATGGAACGTTTCAAGCATACGAGGACATAGACAAACTAGTATAATAAAGCTCATGGACCCACCTCCCAGCTTCAGCAAGTATCTACGCAAGGTCAGTCTTACTTCCTCTACATTCCCACACATACCCCCTTTTATTTGAAGGAATCCCAGATATCGTATCATTTCATCCATAAACACTTCAGTACATATCTCTAAAAGATAACAACTTTCCAATTTTTAAACATAACTGTAGTATCTTTATTACATTTTAAAATATTATCAATAATTCCTTAATATTATCAAATAACCAGTTCAATCTCAGTAGTTGAACATGATCCATATATCCATTAAATTTCTTCTCTTTTTTCCCCCCTACAACTCAACTCCTATTTCTAGTTTATTCAGCACTATTACACAAAAAAACATTAAAATAGAAACATCTAAGGAAGGGTGAATAGAAGAAATTAAAATATTTTAAAATTAAAGAATTTAAAAAACACTTAATTTTCTTGTACATGCTTGTTCTCCAAGTGAAAGGAGGGAAGCTGTATTCTTACTACTTTTTTTTTTTAATTTTTTTTCTTTATTGATTTTAGAGACAGGAAGGGAGAGGGAGAGAGAGAGAAACATCGATGAGAGAGAACATCGACTGGCCGCCTCCTGCACGCCCCCCACTGGGGATCAGCCCACACCCTGGGCATCGAACTGGCGACCTCTTGGTGCAGGGTCGAGGCTCAGCCACTGAGCCACACCGGCCGGGCTATTCTTACTACTTTTTCAGATTCTCTTCTAGTTCGGACAAACCTGAAATCCCCAGACTTTCATGGGCGTGCTGGGTGGAAAGTCATGGGGCAAGGACACGGGACTCTTGCTTTGCCCATAATAGCATTCTGCCTGCAGGCTGCAAAGGCAGAATCACATGCAAAGGAGAGTTTCAATTCCACAGTTGGGGGAAGTGGTATTTCCTCCCTTTGCGAGAGCTTGATATCAGCTACCAATTACTTTAGAAAGTGATGCAATAGATACATTCACATGAAAAGCACCAAAAGAAAAAAAATCCTAACAAATTGGAGCAGTGTTTGCATCTTATCCAAAGACTGACAAGATAATGTCTTAACTCAAAGAAATGAAACGCCTCTGCTAAAAAGGAGTTAGATTACACATTTGCTTCTTAGCAGCAAGTCATTCTTTTTCTTTTTTCCCCAATCCTTACCTGAGGATATTTTCATATTTATCTTCAGATGGGGGGAGAGAGAAACCTCAATGTGAGAGAGACACATCGGCTGGTTGCTTCCCACATGACCATGACCAGGGCTGCAGAGGAACCACAACCGAAGTACATGCCCCTGACTAGAATCAAACCTGTGACTCACTGGTCCAAGGACCGACGCCCTAACCGCTGAGACAAACTGGCCAGGGCGCAAGTCGTTCTTTTATCCCTACACACAGGTGTTTTCTACATGGAATTATTTCTAGGATGCACATAAGCAGAGGGTCAGAGTGCACACAGTCCCCAAAGTTGGAGGGTCTCCCCAAGCTAGCAACCTTAAAGTTAGGTTCTCTTTCTTCCAACTTGGATACAGTTTACCAATAAAATCTAGTGGTCCTCCCTGAGACCCTAACAGGCTGAACCCGTGAAAAATCTATCTTATTCCTTTTCAAACACACAAGAACTTTCCTTTGATTTGCTAAGCCTTGATCTATTTGACTTTCTTTTCCAATGTACTAATTCACTCTCAGCAGAATCACTGTTAAGACTTTAGTCTCAAGTTGCTAACCAAACAAAGAGGAGTCCATGCTGTGGTCCCAAGGTGCCACACCTCATCCTCCCTCTCTGCTGCCAGATGCCCTGGCTGGCAGGAGCTGGGAAGCTAGACTAGAAGGGTGGCCTCAGGGCTGAGTCAGAGAAAAGAAAGAAAAGTCCAGCGTGGCAGCCACCTCCTAAAATCATCACAGCCCACTTCTACTCGATATGAAACAGGATGTGAGAATCTTTCAGGAAATTATTTCTTAAGCATTTGCTTCTACTTTTTCAGCCATTGGGGAGGATTGAAGGCAAAGATCCATTAGAACTAGGTTATCATTTCCTTAAGTCAGGGATCATCTCTTACTACACTGAATCTCTAATACCTAGGGCTGGACGGGGCATGGTGGGCACAATAAGTATTCCTTTAATGAAAGAATAATGGTCAGTTGACGGGCCCAACTACCCTTTCTGAATATACTGTTTCTATGTTCTACTTTCCCCAGTTGTGCTTACCTCAACAAGAACTTTAGAAAGCACACAGCAATGATGACTGCTAGACCAACAAGGAACGCAATACACACAGCTATAAAAATAACAGAAAGCACATTATCACCGAAAATGTCATCATAAGAATCAAAGTTGTCATGTAATCACAATTAATCTGTAAATTAAAAAAAAAAAAAGCAAAAAAATAAATGAGGGAAAAGCCTATATTCTTATGCTAAATTTCCTACAAACAATTGAGAATACTTCATGGGGGGGGGGGGATTTTCATTATGAAAGATACCAAACATCTACAAAAATACAGAGAACTGTACAATAAACCAACATATATACCCGTCACCTAACATCATTTCACCCATACATCTCCAGTGGTATCTTAAAGCAACAGTCTTGTAAAAGATGTATTAGCATCCTGCAGCTCCTGACATGACCCACTGGGAAGGGCACATTACTTCTGCAATAATCCACCAAAAACACACTACCTCTGCCTCATCGTGAGAAATAAAATAAATAAATAAGAAAGTAAATCCAAATAACAAACTAACTGGTCAGTCCTCTTCAAAAGTGTCAAGATCATGAAAAACTAAGAGAGACTGAGGAACTGTCCTAGAAGAGACAACTGGAGAAAAATGAAGACTGTGGATCAGTTTATCAATGTTAAGTTCCTGATTTCAATAATTATGCATGGGATCACTGTACTATGACGATGTAGTTTAGGGGTTTAGAAAAAGCTGGGTAAAGGGTGTATGGGAACTCTTCTTTGTACTGTTTCTGAAAGTCTAAAATTGTTTCAGAATTTCAAGTTTTTAAAAAACAGACCTTTTGTGATATGATCACAATGTCATAAAAATTAATAATTCCCTGGCTAACTGTTTTTTGTAGTTAATATATTCAAATCAGGATCCAAACAAGGTGTGCATCTTGCATTTGCTTGTTTTGTCTCTTAAGTCTCATTTAGTCGTAAGCAGCCATGGACTTGATTTAAACACCAGGTCAGCTGTCGTCTATGAGTATGTCTCATGTTCTCGATCTTTCGGCATGCTTCCTCGTGGTATCACTGTTCTCCTATCCTCCAAATGTTCTGTACACGGGAAAGTAGCTGTAAAGCTTAGCTAAAAAAGTTCAAGGTTTGGGGGGAAGAATGCCTCCCAGGTGCTGCTGCGTCTTCCCACTGGACCACAGCGGAAGCACCTCCTGAGACTGATCATGTGTCTGACTTGTGTTCAGCCTGTGAAGGCCTGACCCCTCCTGTGTAAAGTTCCTGTTTCATTTAATGGTATCACCCATTGATGATTTTTTTTTTTTAAATCTTCTCCCAAGGATATGTTTTTACTGATTTAGAGAGAGCAAGAGAGAGAGAGAAAGAGAGGGAAACATGGATTGGCTGCCTCCCATGTGTGTCCCAACCAGGGATCAAACCCAAAACCTAGATATGTGCCCTGACTGGGAATCAAACTGGAAATCTTTTGCTGTACCAGATGATGCCCCAACCGAGTCACCAGGCCAGAGCCATGATTTTTTGCCTAAAGCAAGTATTTTATTAGGGGTTGCAAAATATTCTGCTCCTCTGCCATTTATTAACTGGAATTCTTCTCTAAAGAAATTACCCTCATCAACTAGGACTATTTAGTTATCCTAAAACATAGTTAAAACAGGAAAAACAGGATAAATGCTTAAATCTTTCCGTTCAACTGACAACTTTAAGTCACAGTAGTTAGCATCGGGTGTCCTGTTACCTCCAAAGGCAACCAGTGTTTTGTTTTTGTTTGAAGAGAGGGGTCTTGTTCTTTTTAGTTTCACAATGAACTCACTGGATTTTGTATATTCCATGTGTTTCCATCAATTACATTCATTATTCTTTTTAATACTTAAGTTGGCCTACACTGGCCCTTTCATACTTGTTCTTGTGTTCTTTTGACATGGTCTACAGTCTTCAACAGCCTCACTGTGAACAGTACTTACTAATGCTCTAGAGACTTATATTATCTAATGGAGGGCTCAGTGACATTTTCTTCAGTGGAGTTCTTACAGAATGAACAGTCCCCTTCTTAACCAAAGGTTGGACCTCTGGACTGTCAACGTAAGACACACACAGGAAATATTCTACCCTAAATACAAAAACAAGGAAAGATACTTGACAGTCGATTGCTCTATTTATAGTTTCTTTCTACTGCATTAACTTTTTTGGCTTATTTATGCTTCATAATTAAACCACTATGAGACTATGTTGATATGTAATGTTTTTATGTATCACATAATCTTCTTGGTATTTTAAATACCAATGACACAGTAAGTACATTTTAAATATACCATAATTATGAGACAGATAATTTATAATCCAGGTTTTAAATTACACACAGTGCTTCAAATAGTACTCGAAAACTAAAACATTTGAAAATGCAAATTTAAAAATCAACAAAGAGCATATACATACGAAGGTTACTGTCAACTGGATTCTTATTGACAATTATCTCACAAGCAATTTCATTGACTCCATTATGGACGGGCTTGACCAAGAGTGAATAGTTTCCAAATTCGCCAAATGTGTATTCCAGCCTATAAAGATTAAATAAAATTAAGAAAATGATTAAATTAGGAAAAAAGGAGTTGAAGTTTGGTTACATCATGAAGGCAGAGTGATAGGCATCCCTGGGTACAGACCAGGAAAGATAGAAATAAATATTCTGAAGGAAGAAAAAGCTAAATACCAAATAAGAAGAAAAGTAGAGAAAAAAGTACAGACTTCAGTAGGTCACAGCAAAGCAGGTACAAACCTACAAACTTCTTTCTCTTCCCACGTGTGGTTAAGTTGCAGGATGGACCTGTGCTGCGTGCTAACGGCCGCGGCTGCGATGCTAGGCGCCCCGGGCTTTGCACTCCCAGAAACGTTCGCCAGAACCTGAAGCAAACACTACACAATAAAAGGAGAAGCAGTGTTAGGGGTGCTTGATAGTCTGTTGGTTGTTGGAGGACATGAACATCCAGCTGAAGATCACGAGGTGACTTTTCTTTCATACTTATGAAAACAGAACGTAATTACAATAATTTAGATAAAATTTGCCTGTATAACTATGTGTTGTTATGGAACTACACAACTTTATTCGTATGTAAATGTGTCATATAATTAATAAATACAGCATACATTAAATCTTGCATTCTATTATTTTGATTATTTACCAAATAAACTTCCATGATTCTAATTTGCGTATTTATAATTTTTTATGATTGCATTATATTCCATCAAATATTATAATTATGAGTTTTTAGCTGCTTTCAAAGCTTATTTTAGCTTTTTATATGTAATTTATATAAATTATATATTTGTAGAATAAATGTATAATTTAAATGTTATATATATATTTATAATTTATATGTTATATTGTTTTACAAGATCTACACATGCTGCTCTTATTCATTTAAATTCTTTCCCTAAGATACATTTCTAAAAATAAAATTACTGGATAAAAAATAATCATTTTAATGGTTTTCGTTACATGTGCCAAATAGTACTCAAATAAGAAAAATTACAACAGTATATTTATTTCTCATTAGCCTTCCCAAGATTTAAAAATCATTCTTCTTTTTGTTCATGTACTAGATATTTATGATATCACAGCATTAAGATTACATTTTTAAATTACCAGTAGATAAAACAATTCTATATTCTTTTGTTATTTTGTTTCCTATGGTGTAAGCCATCTTTTAGATGCCAAATTCCCTTGAACGTAATTGTAGAAATATGTCATCCTCATATACTGTAATATTAAACTTTTAACTATCAAATATTTTCCCATTCTAATGCTTTCCTTTTCATCTTGTTATATTCTGTTGTTTTTAATTACAAGTGTTTAAAGTTTATATAGTTGTGCTAATCTGGCTTATCATTTCTTTCATTGCTTCATCAATTTTAAAATGTACTAAATATTTTAGTATTTTTTAAGTTTGTGGAGGTATTTTTTAAACTTGAATTCACTTGGAGCATTTGATAGAACTTATATAATAATTCTAAATACCTTTCCCTATGGTTTTAGTTTTAATATGTTAAATTCTTATGTAAATTAGCTTCTGCTTCTTATACTTACTTTGGTACTAGTCTTCACTTCTCTTTTTTTGCTACAAAAGCAGCTGTGGCTCCATAATGAATCTGACCTGTACCAGCATATCTCCCTGATGCCCATTATTTTTGGCTGTCCTTTGATTGTCTTGCTCATTTACTTTTTCATACAAATTTTGGAATTATTTATGCAGATTCCATAAAGTATCCATTGCTATATTAACAGTAATTGTGTTGAATATATGAACTTGGAAAGTACTATAATTTTTCCTATGCCTAGTCGTCATATCAGAATGCACTGGCTATCGCTCCATTTAAACCTGTATTTTTTTTCCATTAAATTTTTATCATTTTCTTTTCATGTGAGCTCTAAAGATTCCTCAAGGATAAAAAATGTCAACATAAATAAATCTTTCAATATGCTAACTTATCCTCCTTGATGAAATTTTATTTAAGATTTTTGAACCCATATTAATTAGAAAGACTGGCCTGTATTTCTTCTCATATTTTTGCCAGGTTTTAAGATGAATGTCCTATCTATACTGCAAAATAAATCAGATATCAAGCCATCATTTTTTTTGAGGAGTGGTAGTTATATTTGGGTCAATTTATACAGATTGAGAATTATTTATTATTTGAAAATGTAGAAAATTTTACCTATTTTTAGGTAGAGATATTTATTTCCAGATTTCTTAATCAGCTGCTGATCTCTTAATTTCTCAATTTTTAATTAATCTTGATATTATATTTTCTAAGGCAATCAACTTTTGAATTTCAAATTATCATCTTATAGCTGTCCATTGAACTATATTTTAATGACAGTGGCTATATATATCCTAATTTCTAATTTTATTAATGTCCATTGTTCTCTTCAATTTATCAATGATTTACCAATTGTGTGAGTTTTATTTTTAAAAATCATCTCTTGACTCGTTCCTATTTGGATTTTCCCCCCTATTTTCCAGTTTACATAATTATCATTTTTATTGCTTCCTCTTTTTCTTTTTGTTTGGAAATGATACTTTGCTTTCCAAAACCTTGAGATACATACTCAGTAGCTTTGTATTTACTCTTTTCTTCCTGATTAACATAAAAGCAGGATCCTGAGAATGGGGAGATAAAAAGCCACATAACAGGTGGGTAACCCAGAAAAATGCCACTTTACTTCTCTTTTATTTTTATTTATTTATTTATTTATTTTTCCTCACCCAAGGACATTTTTTTCGTTCAAGTAGAGTGGGAGGGAGAGAGAGGAACAGAGAGAGAGAGAGAAACATCGACGTGAAAGAGACACATCGAGTGGCTGCCACCCGCACAACCGACCAGGGCCAGGGACAAACTGCAACCGAGGTACGTGCCCTTAGCGGGAACCGAACCCGGGTCTCTCCGGACTGCAGGCCGACGCTCTAACCGCTGAGCCAAACCCGCCAGGGCCACTTTACTTCTCTTAATCTCAATATCCTGATATATCCTCTCTACTGGATTGTTGTAAAGATTAAATGAGATATAATATCTGAGACATGAAGCAGGCCCTCAGTAAACAGCACCTACAACTTCTATTATCATCATCTTTATTATTAGAAACATCTAAATACAATTTTTCATGAGAATTTCTTTGGCCAGATCAAAGATTTTTCTATGAAATATATTTTCCTTAGACAAAATTATGTCCATGCTCTTTTAAATAATTTAACATTTTTTTCTTGAGTTAGTCTTTTTTTTTATCCTCACCTAGGGACATTTTTCCATTTTTTATTCAGATAGAGCAGGAGGGAGAGAGAGGAAGAGAGAGAGAGAAACATCGACATGGGACACATCGAATGGCCGCCACCCGCATGACCCAACCAGGGCCGGGGACAAACTGCAGCCAAGGTACATGCCCTTAGCGGAAACCGAACCCGGGTCTCTGTAGACTGCAGGCTGCTGCTCTAACGGCTGAGCCAAACCAGCCAGGGCTTGAGTTAGTCTTATGTAGTGATTTCTTCTGTGTGTGTGTGTTTTTTTTTTATTCTTCATTCTGTCACCAGCATCACTGGTTTTTTGTACCAATGATTCTACCTCCCCTAAAGATGCTCTTACCTCCCCTTTGGCTATAACTTGATAATGAAGTCTTTTTTCCCCTCAATTTGTTTTCCAAAGATTTTATACCTTTAGGAAGTCTGTTTAGAAGACATTTTGCTCATTCCCTGAATTATTTATGACTCTTGTTGCTACTGTTGATTTTTTTTTCAGTTTTTTTTTTTTAGGTCCTTGCAGAATAAATCTTTTCTTTGTCTTAAACTACATTTTTTAATATTACAGATTTTCTTTGACTCACATTACTTTACAGAGTTTTCAGTGGGATTAATCAAATAGAGGAAGGATGTATTTCTCCATCATCTTTTCAGCTGGTACCCAAACTCGGGTTTACTATACATTCAAATTCCTCCTCGAAGGTAGTATGCTGAAGCTCTCCATTTTATTTGGAAATAAAGAATACTTTATTCTACATGGAAGACTAGCCTCATCCTTAAAAAGCAAAAAGGCCTAGAATAGGAGTAAAGCCTTCAGATAAAATAAATTCTTTATCATCAGAGACGCAGATCCCCGGAATAACTGCCACTCTGCCTCAACATGAGCCTCCCCACTGTCCTCACCACCCTCACCCTTGAAGAATATCCAGGTGTCTCACTCCCTTCTCTGGTCCAGCAAGAGGGCTATGCATTAAGCAAAGAAGTGAAATAAAACATGCTCCATCAATTTTGCTCATCACTGAGAACTGGGTTTTAAAAAAAATGTGTAGTGGAAAAGATAAATGTTGCTCATTGATAGACATTCTCCCTGATTATATTTTTCTGAATATATAGCATGTTTATTTCCTTACCCATAAACTGAAGTTAACATGTGAAGGGCTTTGGGTATGAGAGCATCAAGGTTATATCAAACTATCCCCAAAGTAAACAAAACTGTGAACACGAACACGATACCTACCTGATAACAGCGTTCAGAATTCCAGTAGACAGTCAAGTTTGTCCCAAATAGTTCATTATGGATGAGCAGCAAAGCCTGGTCCATCTTCAGTTCTACATGCCTTTTGCTGTCTAAATCTGGTAAGAATTAGAAAAAAAAATCAGAGAATAACGAAGTACCTGAAAAATGTGTTAGAGACGTCACAGGAGTGCTGCTCAAATGCCTGCATTCTGGGGTCTCTGATCCCTTATTCTGTGTATACACAGGTATGCATGCATGCATGCATGCGCGCGCACACACACACACACACACACAGAGCCTCTTTTGCATAGGTGCCTTTACTACACATGAGGACTCAGTCAACACCATTCATGCTCAGTGTGTAAAAGGCCTGTGTAAGGACTTTACATTCATCAAGTGCTAAGATATGACAAGCACTGAATTTTGCCGTTTCCAGACATCTTCTATTTTGATCATCAGACAATCTCATGAACTAGGTATTTTCTCCATTTTACAGATGAAGAAATTAGGGCTCACAAGGATTACAAAACTGCCCAAGGGCACGGTTTTCCTGTGAAATGTTTTGATCTGTTTTGAACCCAATTTGTGTCGTTCCAAAGTTCAAACCTTCCTCAGCCACGTTACTCAGCTCTGAGTGTGGTATGGGCAGCAGGAGACCTGCAGAACCCCCAGACCTACTGGGGCAAGACGAGCAGGTCAGCAGGATATGTGGGGGACTTGTCTGCCCTTTCATTAAAGTCTGAGAAGCTCTGCTTTATATCACTTTGGTCTGGAGTTCTGAATCTCCTTCTAGTTTCCACAGCAGATCTGGGGTGCTGAGGAGAGAGTATACAGTTGTCCTTCACCACTTCACCCTTCGACTTTCGCGGCTTCACTCTACCACGGTTTTTTCAAATATATTTATTAAAAAGTTGATCGAGACAGTGAAAATGATACAGCATGCACTCAGTTGCATGAGTCAATTATACACCCCTGTATTACAATTAAAATTAAAATTACTGTATGTATGGACTGTAGGTCTATGTATTCGAGCACCCCAGGAATCCTTCAGTGCAGGGGTGCAACCGCTAGAGTCTGGAACGGATTAATCACGATAAATGAGGGATGACTATAAATCTCAGTCTGAAGGGCAGTGTTCAACTTGGCTGAGAGCTCCCCACTTTATTAGATGCTCTTAGGAGTCCACCAAGACATGCACATTCTAAATTTAAGTTTGCCAAGTTTGGAGAAAAATAAAGTAAATTATTACTAGCTAAAACTAAAGCAAAATGCTTCATTGAGACCAATGGGACCATTTATATCTAATATTATATTATATGAAGGAGAAATTAATTTACCCTCTAGCCTCCAGGCAAAGGGAAAACAAGGGAAACTGTTTAATAACACAACTAGAAAGGTAATAATCTAGCCTCTTTTATTTAGTAATATGAAAGCTTCCTTCAGGGCTTCAAAAGAACAAAAAATACTAAAGCCCTGATCTACTCCAGACCAAACTATATCAGAATCTGTACCCCAACCAGCATGCTTTTTAAAATATCCTCCCCAAAACAACAAAAAATCCCCCAAGTAATTCCAATATGCAGCCAAGGTTGAACACAACAGCTAGAGAGACTGAGCGCAAAGCCAAGGGACTTTGACACCTTTGTACTTTTTTGCATTATTTGAACATATTTTTTTAAACCAAAGAGTCTGTATCAGTCAAACAAATAAAGGATGCAATTCCTAAACCATCCGATATGACACTGAAATTGAATCTGATGATCAGTTTCAAGAGAAAGCTGCCAATTTCTGACACAGCTGACTAGAAATGCTAGGGTAACACTCAAGGAGCATCATCTATCTACAAAAGAGCAACTCCCTCCTCCTCTTTCTGTCTACAATGTCTAGGTGAGGAAATAAACCAAATAAAATCACTTTTCAATAGTCCTAGGGTAATGGTATTATTTGTGTATTTGATTTTAATTCAATTTCCTAATATTTAACTTCTGGTTCTAGCTCTCTGCTCAGGAGTGTCTTTGCTGGGCATATTTTAAAGGACATAACCTACTACATTTAAAAAAAAAATCTTTCAAGTAAACTTGAGTCCTCAAATCATCTGAATACGTAGTTCTTAGTGGGAAGTTGTCCAGCCCAAACCTGGGCTCCAGGTGCCACTGAACGTCTGGCTGTCCTCTCAGCACAGCTTGATGAAGGTTCTGGGGTGGATCTTTTAAGAATACTATGTTTTCCTTCACTATATACAATCACTATTTGCAAACTACTTTTTTTCCCCTAAAATAACGATCACTATGGATTGCTGCTAAAATACAAAGAAAGAGCATTGTGTGGACCTGTCCCTGACAGTTGTGACTGGGCAGATTATGTAACCTCTTGGGCTCTGTTTCCTCGATTATAAAAGGAGGGGACAGGAAGAGACTGAGCCGAGGGGTGGGGGAGTCAGCCTATAAAACGTAGTCAGCTGAACTGCTTCTTCAAAATGTATTTTGTGTTGCCCTATAAGATTCTGATTGGGGAGGAGGAGCAGTCTGACACCCAAGCCCAGTGTTCTGATACAGAAAGGGTGATCACAGAAGGGAAAAGAGAGGTAGGTGACTCTACCATCCCACCTTCCCCAAATGCTGACCGGTCTGGGTTTGCTGCACTTGCTGATCTCACAATTCCTGACCAAAACCTCGCCTGGAGAGGGCTGTGGGATCCTTGTTCCAGGAGTCTAGAGAAAAGCCCTGGAACTTGTATTTTCCACCATTTCCCCAGGTGAGTTCGGACACCAGACGTCAGGGAAACAGAAGATGCGCTGACTGCCTCCCCTCCCGGCGGCCGCACATCAGAATCTCCCCCGGCCCCGCCCCTTTCCCGGCAAAAATAGCCCCCAGGCTCCTTCAGGCTTGAACTTCACTCTGTGACATTCTCGCAAACCGCAGGGTGCGGGTGACCACAACCTCCACTGCCCCTCCTGTCACCTCCGAAGTAAGTCTCCTAAGGGAGGCTGGAGGGCATTCCATGAGATCGGACTTGGAGTTTTAACGACCAATCCTGCAGTCACCGCCCTCCCCGCGCCACTCCCGCTGAGTTTCACTCCACGCTGGCCATTTACGCCTGAGTGCAACCCCAGCGTCCGGCGAGGCCTTTCGGGGCTGCGGCAGGCGGGGGTCCCGCAACTCAGCCACGGGGCAGGGCGGCGCCCCCGCTCCAGCTTCCCCGCCCCGCCGCGTGCCACCCGCCGAGTCCTCTGTGTCTGGGGAAGGGACTTCGCTTGGGCGGAAGATCCACCGTGCAGTGGTTAGAAGAGCGATGCGCGTTGTACACCGCTCTTGGTCAGCCCGCCTCTTATCTAGCTTTGCCTCTGGGGAGGAACAGGTCTCCCGAGGACAGGCACCCAGAGACAAAAGTCGCCTGAAGACATGGGTGCCCCGCAGCATCGGGGCGGGAGGTGGGCGGGGCGCGGGGCTGACTCTCTGAGAGGCCGGCGCCCGTTCCCGCCCCGCTGTCCCCGAGCTTTCGCCCCTGGGTGGTGCCGTTTGGATGCTCCCACCACACTGCGCGACGCCGACCCGCGCGGTGACAGACACGGCAGCCAAACGTGCCAGCGCGCAGGACTCCGGGCCGGGCTCTCGCAGCCGCGCAGCAGAAACAAAACTCCAGTTCCGGAGCATTGCTCTTCCGAGCGCTCGCGAACCAGCGTCACGAGCCAGGAGAGGGCGTCGCGAGCAGGGAGGGAGCGTCGCGAGCAGGGCGGGGGCGTCGCGTCGCTCCAGGGAGGGGGCGGTCGCGCGTGCCCCCGGGCCCGGCAGCCGGAGGGAGCCCCGGCGCGCACTCACCTCGCGTGCTGCGCTCCAGGGAGGCGCCGGGGGCCAGCAGCGCGGCGCTCAGCACGGACGCGGCCAGCAGCAGCAGCGCGGCCAGCGCCGAGCCCGCGGCCCGCGCCCAGCTCATGCCGCCCGCCGCCGCCGCCGCCACGGGCCGCCGCTCCCGCCCGGGCGCCGCCTCGGCTGCCGCTCCTCCTCCTCCTTCGCCGCCGCCGCCGCGCTCCCGAGCTCTGCGCTTCTTCGCGGCGCACGGCCGCGCGCCCGTCATCGCCGCCTTTCGAATGCCGTCACCGCTGCCTGAGTCACCCGGGGGGGCGGGGACGTGCTGGAGCCAGGGGCGTTGCCAGCCGGTGCGGGCAGGTCCGCGGGCCGGGCCACCCTAGGACCTGCGCTCCGGGAACCTTACTAAGTAAGGGACCAAGATTCTCTCTCCATTGCGTAGTGCTTTTTTCCTCGGGGAAGCATCCAGAAGAGAGGCCCTCCGCAGGCCACAAGCCACTGCTCCCGTCTCTGATCACTCCCCTGAGCGACATCCTGTTAAATTCCTGCATCCAGCCATTCGCCATGCAAATGGGTGTTGTTAGTGTCCTCTGTCCACTGTTCTGGAAATGTCATGGTAAGTCAGACAGACAGAGTTCCAGTCCCAAGGCGTTCACTAGCTTTGCATCTGGAGAGATGAGATTTAAAAGCCATCATGTGGTACCACCACTTTGAAGAGCTCTTTGCTAGTCTCTGATAAAGTTCAAGGCGAGTAGGCACGATGACCCTGCAGTTGCACTCCCAGCTATATGACTGGAGAAACTGCCATCCATATAGAGAGACATGTACAATAATGCTTGTAGCAGAATTTTTTATAATTTCAAAAACCTAGAAACAATCTAAATGTCCATCAGTGGAGGAAATACACTGTGGTATATATAACAGCAGTAGCAATGATCTAGAGTTACATGTATCGAAATGGATGAATCTCAAAATAAGGCAGAGAGGAAAATGCAAGTTGCAGAAATACCTTCCTAAAAACTTATATGTAAAGTGTAAAGCCAAGAAAAACAATACAAAGTGTTGTTTAGTGACAAATACATATGTAGTAAAAATATAAGAACATGTATGGAAAGATAAACACTAAACTCAGAACTAACACATTGATGTTTCTCTCTCCCCCCCTAAACTCAACAAAAACATATCCTCCATGAGGATTAAAAATAAAAAGGACTAAATGTTTCAACAAGGCAAGGATATCTGCCCTCACCAATTCTACTCAGCACTGTCCTGGAGGTCCTAGTCAGTGCAACAAGGCAAAAGGAAAAGAAAAAAAAAGTGTATACAGATGGCTTTATTCAAACATGGCATGAATGAATGTATGTGTAGAAAACCTTAAGGAATCTCCCCCCACCTCCCAAAACTATGAGAACTTATAAGTGAATTTAGCAAGGTCACAGAATTCAAAGTCAATATACAAAAATCAATTGTATGTTTATAACCTAGATGTAAACAAAAGTGGAATTTCACTTATTAAAAATAGCATTCACAGTGGAATTTTTAAATTAAATTTATTGGGGTGACATTGGTTAATAGGATCATATAGGTTTCAAGTGTACATTTCTGTGATACAAGATCTATATATTGCACTGTTCCCACTACCCAAAATCAAATCATCTTCCATCACCATATATTAGGCCCTCTTCACCCCTAGCCCTCAACCCCCTTCCCTCTGGCAATTACCACACTGCTGCATTTAACAAAACAAGTATAAGAACTGAACACTAAAAACTACAAAACATTAATGAAATTAAAGATGACTGAAATAGTTCGCGAGATCAAGCATGATAAGATGCCAGTTTGCCCCAAATTGAGCTATATAGATTCAGTGCAATCCAAATAAAAATTCCAGTAGGTTATTTGTTGCGCATGCTCCCGCGTGCGCACGTGTGTGTAGAAATTGACAAATGATTCTAAATTTTATACGGGAATGTAAAGTGATTTTCAAAAAGAACAACAAGCCCTCGCCGGTTTGACTCAGTGGTAGAGTGTCAGCCAGTGGACCAATGAGTCGCGGTTCAGTTCCGGCAACACATGTATGTTTCAGTTTGTCCCCAGCCCTGATCAGGGTCCTGTGGGAGGCAACCAGTCGATGTGTCCTTCTCACATCGATGTTTCTCTCTCTCCCTTCCACTCTGTCTGAAGATAAATAGAAAAATATCCTTGGTGAGGATTTAAAGAAAAAAAAAAAAAAAAGAACAAAGTTGCAGGTCTTGTACTACCCCAGTTCAAGATTTACTATAAAGCTATAGCAATCAAGATAGTGTGTTATTGGCATAAGGGTAGGAATACAGTTCAATAGAATAAGATAGAGAGCCTAAAAGTAAACCCAACTGGTTTTACACCAAGTTGCCAAAGCGATTTAATGGGATAATCTCTTTCTTAATGGTTTTATTGGTTTTTTAGAGACAGGGAGAGATAGAAACATCGATTTGAGAGAAATATTGATCAGCTGCCTCCTGCACACCCCCCACCAGGGATCAAGCCTGCAACCCGGGTATGTGCCCTGATTGGGACAATGCTCAAGCCACTGAGCCACACTGGCCGGGTGATGATCTTTTCATTAAATGATGCTAGAACACTTTTTTGGGGAAAAAAGTGAACCTTAACCCTTACCTCTCACCATACACAAAACTGAACTAGAAATGGATTATAAAACTCAATGTAAAAACTAAAACTATAAAACTCCTGGAAGAAAATAAAGGAGAAATCTTTGTTACCTTGAGTTAGGCAACGATTTCTTAAACAGCACATAAACCATTTAAAAACACAAACTTAAATAAAATACACTGTTGTCCTGGCCGGTTTGGCTCAGCAGTTAGAGTGTCGGCCTGTAGTCTAGAGAGACCCGGGTTCGGTTCCCACTAAGGGCACGTGTCTCAGTTGCAGTTTGTCCCTGGCCCTGGTTGGGTCGTGCAGGTGGCAGCCACTCAATGTGTCCCTTTCACATTGATGTTTCTCTTCCTCTCTCTCCCTCCCACTCTGTCTGAACAAGAAATGAAAAAATGTCCTCAGGTGAGGATTAAAAAATAAATAAAATAAAATAAAATACACTGTTAAGAAAATGAAATGGCAAGCCTCTGGCTGTGAGAAAAGATTTGCAAAAGATATGTCTGGTAACAGACTTAATTCCAGGTTACATAATGAACTCTTAAAATTTAATAAGCAAGTTATTTTAAAATGGGCAAAAGATTTACTCTCCTCCCGAGAAGATATATGAATCCAATAAACATGAAGATTCTCAGCATTGTTTTTCTTGGGAAAATGCAAATTAAAACTATAATGAGATGCCACTACACACCTAGAATGGCTAAAATTAAGTGGGCTGATAATAACAAGTGTTGGCTAAGATGTGTGAAGCTACTGGAACTCTCACACATTGCTAATGGGAATGTAAAATGGTACAGATGCTTTGGAAAACAGTTTAGAAGTTCCTTATAAAATTAAACATATACTTACATGTGATTATAGGAACACTCCTAGGTATTTACCCAAGACAAAAGACTTGTATTTAAATGTTAACAGCAGTTTTATTCATAATAGCCCCAAACTGAAAATAACCCAATGTCCATCAGCAGATGGCTGGATGAAGAGATTGTGGTACATACAAATACAGTGGAATATTACTCACCAATAAAAAGGTAGAAATTACTGATATAAAGAACAAGGATGGATCTCAAAAACATTCCAATGAATGAAAAAAGACAGGCACAAAAAGATTTAAACTATACTGTATGGTTCCAATTAGATGATATGCTGGAAAACATTCTAATCTTTCTAAAAAAGCAAGTGGAGTCGTTGCCTGGGGCCAGCAGTGAGGAAAGGCCTCAATGGGCTGGGACACCTGGGAAGTCCCAGGAAAGACAGACATGTTTTATCTGTAGGGGTGATGACATGAGTATGTCAGTATATCAAAACTCACTGAAATGTACACTTAAACTGCATTTTATTATATATAAACCAGGCTTTTGCCTTGGAAAATCAGATGGATGGTGTGCCATTTACAGATGTAGGAAATGGCAGCAGCAAATCTGAAGCAGGGAAGAGCTCTTGGAGAAATGTTGAATTTGAGATGTTCTGTGTGGACATGATTTCAGTTCACTTGGGTAAATACTTAGGAGTAGAATTGCTGGGTCATGGTAACTCTATTTTTAACTTTCTGAGGAATATCAGACTGTTTTCCAAAGTGGCTGCACCATTTTACACTCCCACCAGCAATGTATAAGGGTTCCAGTTCACATCCTCACCAACACTTGTTATCCTTTTGATTACACCCATCCTAGTCAGCTGAGGAGTTTTTATAACAAAAATCAGCAGTCAAAACAATGAGCATATTCTCTGATCACCCACAGGACCCAATCAACCACAGGCAGTAAACTAGGGGATAGGACTGATACTATTGCCCTATCAGTGCCGGTGGAGCCCTGCCTGACAGTCAGAGGCAGTGGTGCTCACTGCTCTGGGAACCAGTTAGAAATGCAAAGTCTTGGCCCTGGCCAGTTTCTCAGTGGTTAGAGCGTCGGCCCGTGGACCAGAGTCCTGGGTTCGGTTCCTGCTAGGGGCATGTACTTCAGTTTCAGTTCATCCCCAGCCCTAGTTGGGGTCGTGTTGGTGGCAACCAGTTGATGTGTCTCTCTCACATTGATCCTTCTCTCTCTCTCTTCCTTCCTCTCTCCCTCCTGCTCTATCTGAAGATAAATGCAAAAATGTCCTCAGGTAGGATAAAAAAAAAAAAAAAGCAAAGTCTCGGACTCTACCCTAGACCTGCTGGGTCTGGGTAAGGCCCAGGTCCCTGTTATTCCAGTGATCCTATCCCTCAATGTCAGCTTTAACCACCTTATTAGGGATGATTAATATGCACCAAACCCATCATCCTCTGCAAATGAGGATGGTGCTGAGCAAGGAAGAAGCTTTTTGAAAGATTCAATCGTGGAACTCGAGTGGAAGGGTTTGACACTTTCCAGTGATGAGTGATAATGTTGATGTAAAATGTTCACAATAATTAATTTTGGACACAGAAAACCCAGCAAGAAGGTAAACAGGAATTTTATAAGTACCATCCAAGGCAGTAACACATATCATTTATCTTATACTTGCTGTTTTAAATATGCCATGTCCATTCAATGTTTCAAAGAACATGCTAGCTAGTTCTCCTTTAGCTCCTAGGAAGGACAGCACAGGAGCTCCACGCAGCAATCATTTAAAACAGTAAAGGTGGCCTCACTCATACCAAGTGAAACAGACCAGAAATATTCCCCCATGACCTGGTATGGTGATTACCACCCCAAAACATGAGAAAAAACAATTCTTTGGAGAACTACTTTGTTTCTTTCATATACTGCTATTTAAAAATCTTCTCTATCTACCTTTCTTACAAGCTTACAAGCTCGGTTATTAGGAGAGGGGAAGGCTCTTTGTAGCTGCCTGTTTGTTACTTCCTTCAGATACAGGTTTAGATTCGCTTCCTCTCTGCCTCTTCACCTGGGAGTGATCAGCCTTAGAAGTGTAGCCAGACTTCAATCAAGTCGGCGCTCCTGCTCACAACTTCTACCCAGGTGGCCGGGAGAGGCAGAAGGCTCGCGTGTGCACGTGGATGCAGAGGCCGAGCCACACGGCTGAAGGGCAACAAGCTCACGTCAGAGCAGAACTGCTCTAACTATTCCACTTGTTCCTTAAATCCCACCCTCCACTGACCGGACCAGTTTTTAGAGCATTTCTCTTGTCTGAGACACCACAGTGTCTCTGAGTGCATTCAAAACCTTCTGGTAAGTGTCCAGAACAGCCTGAGCGGTGGGTCTCTCCGCAGGACTCTGGCTCTTACAGGCCTTATGAATATCGAACAAATGGAATCGGACCATATCACTCCCTTCGACGTGCCCCAAAAGGAAACTGGAGACGTCTGGAATCTTCCAGATGTCGATCTTCTCATCATAGGAGGGCATGAGATCGTCATGAAAAGGTGTGTCCTCTCCATAGGGCCACAGCTGCTCTGGAGCCACGAAATCCCCGTGAAGCTCCCTGTGGCCGCACTTTACAAACATCCCAGAACTGTGGTTCACCAGGGGCAAGGCGTCCAGGTCGTTCACCACAATGCTGAAGTTACTGGTCAGCAGGTACTGGGACAGTGTCTTGGGCAGGTCGCTGGAGTCGCACATGACCAGCGTGCCCAGGGGACTGTGGTGCAGGTAGTTGATGATGCCGACGTAATCCATGGCCAGCTGCAACCTCTGCTGCCAGGTGTTCACATTTTGGTACTTGGAAAGGTTGAATGTTTCTTCCAGGTTGCTCAAGGACCCTAAGGGGTGATATTCGGTAAGAATGGTATTGTCCTCTTCACAGAAGCCGAGCAGCGTGACAACATGTTTACCCTGCAGAGATTTCAGCATCTGCAGTCCATGCAGGAAATCCTCTTTCATCTCCAGACTGGTGAGCCGGGAGAGAGCGACTTTGCGTTCCTTCCACTCGGACAGAAAGACCTGAAACAGAGCCAGAAACATTACCTGTGTTAGAGAGCTGGGAAACAGCTCCACAAATATCTTTTAAGCACTGAATGTGGTTCAGAGGACACAGAAAATAAAGAGACATAGACCCAGCCCTAAGGTTGCTCTTAGTCTAGTTATAAAGACTTACTAAATAGCAAATACAAGATATGCAGTGAGGCAAGTGCCACATTAGCAGGTAAAGGCCCAGGGCAGGAGGAGGTGGGAAGGACTGACTCCAGTCAGGGTGCTGCGGGCCATCAGGAGAGGGTGCCAGAAGGCTCCTGGGAATTGCTCTGAAGTAGCGGTTCTCAACCTGTGGGCTGCGACCCCCTTGGGGTTGAACGATCCTTTCACAGGGGTCGCCTAAGACCATCGGAAAACACACATTTCTGCGGAGCGGAACTGAGACACTGCTCCTCTATCTGTCTCCAGGCGGGTCCGCCAACATGCAGATATGCTCACATACAAGATGAGGAACTGTATTAAAGCGTCGCGGCATTTGGAAGGTTGAGAACCACTGCTCTAAAGGATGACCAGGCTTGCAGGGTGGGTGTGGAGCACGGAAGCGGCACTCCCAGAAGAGGGGACTGCATGTGTAAAGGCACTGACGTGAAAGGGACACATCGAGTGGCTGCCACCCACACGACCAACCAGGGCCGGGGACAAATTGCAACTGAGGTACGTGCTCTTAGCGGGAACCGAACCCGCGTCTCTCTGGACCGCAGGCCTATGCCCTCACCGCTGAGCCAAACTGGCCAGGGCTTATTCACTAATTTTAAAAGGTAACAGAGTAAACCACAAATAGGAATAGTTCTATGTAAGGTAAACAAGTTGACATGGTCTGTGTTTTGTGTAACTTCAACTGTAAAAGCAAGAGCTGAAATGCCACAAACACCAGACTTGCCCATCTTGTTCAGTTTCCAGAAAACCGTATGGTACTGCCTTTGAGTCTTAACTGTTATTAGCTAGGGTTGCAGGAAGCACTGTAATTAAGAACCTCTGATCTTCTGCTTAAATCCCCAAAGGAAAGACAGAATTTTGCAGAGGAGAAAACAGGCTGGGAGGTCAGATCACTGTCCCCAGGCTGCTTCTGCCACCAGTGGGCTGTGTCTCTTTGGGTTTCTGCTTCTTCACTGTGAAAGTAAAAAAGCAACTTGGGGCATTATTTATCAAGAGCTTTTAATATCTAAGTCTATAATCTACCTAAGGCAATAATATGAAATAGATAAAAAGTTCTAGGAATAAAAATCTGGCATTATTTATAAAAACATAAACTGAGCCCTGGCTGGGTAGCTCAGTGGGTTAGAGCTGAAAGACTTCTGGCTTTCACCCAGAGTGACAGAGAGCCACTAGAGGACTTGCGCTGAGGACAGACACTATCTGACCTATAATTTTTTTTTAAATATTCTTTAAAATATTTTTTTTTTATTGAGAGAGAGCTAGAAACATCAATGTGAGATAGAAACATGGATTGGCTGCCTCCTGCACACCCCGTATTGGGGACAGAGCCTGCAACCCAGGCATCTGCCCTGACTGGGAATAGAACCCAGGACTTCTCAGCCCATGGAACAATGCTCAATCCACTAAGCCACACTGGCCATGTATGACCTATAATTTAATAGTGGCGTTCCTGCTGCTGTGTGAAGAATAGACTGAAGCAGCTGGAAGGGGGCAAGTGTGGAAGCAGAGACCTCTTTGGAGGCTAATGGAATACTCTAGGGACAAGATGATGTTGGCCTGGATGGGGAGGAAGGGATACAGGCAGAAGTCTGAGGAGCGGTTAAATTCCAGATCTCTTCTGAGTGTATACACACTATAGTTTGCCAATGGAATGGGACGTGGATATGAGAGAAAGAGAAGTCAAGGACACCTCGCAGGCTGCGGGCTCGAGTAACTGAAATGAGGGAGCTGTCACTCGCTGCGATGGGGAGAATAAAGGAAGAGCAGGCTGTGGGCGATCTGGGACATGCTCAGTTTGAGCAGCCTTTCAGACACCCAGGTGGAGACGTGGGACAGACAGCTGGGTAGAAAGGTCTGGAGGTCCTGGAAAGAGGTCTCAGCCACAGATAAAGGCCCGAGGTTGGATGAGGCCACCCAGGGAGCAAACACAGAAGGAGAAGAAAGGTCCAAGGTTAAGAGGGATGAGGAGGTGGATTCGGCAAAGGAGACTGAGAAATGGACAGTTATTTCATACTTCAAAATATATAATTCATGAAAGAACTGATTTCACTGCTCCAGGCAGAGGACACACGCACCTGGCAATTCCAAAACAAACCAAAAACACAGTCTGGGGAAAGAAGGTGGGCTCAGGTGTGTGCATACTGAGGAAACCATCAAAGTTAGGCCAATATTTTATGAGACTTGAACAAATAAGCCTTTGACTTCTAGCCCCTAAGTTATATTCTATGAAAAAAACTAAATTAAAAAATAAAGACTAAAAAAAAATTCCAGAAAATAAATACAATATCAAAAGACAAATAAATAAATAAATAAAATGTGTCCCATGAATCGGGCACTGGGCTAGATGCAGAGGACACACCCTCTGAGCCCTCAGGGAACGTACATTTATGAGCGACAACACAGTATAAGACAGATGAGAAGTTCATGACGGGTGGGGTTCGGAAGAGGGTGTCAGGGAAAGCCTCTCAGAGAAGTGACGTCTGAGCTGAGACCTGGGTGACGAGGAGCTGGCCATCTCAGAGGTGGAGGAGATAATTTCAGGCAGAGAAAGGCAACTGCAAAGGCCTGAGTTGAGAAAGGGCTGTCTGATCAAGGAACAAGAGGGTAGGTGAGAGCAGGACAGGGAGTGAGGATGCCTGGGTGAGTTCAGGAGGCAGCGGGGCCCAGATCAGGGTGTGTGGCAGGTCTTGGTAGGTTTGGAGTTTTCCCTAAGGGCGATGGGAAGCCAGCGAAGGGGTTTTAAAGAAGCGAGTGGCATGATCTGAATTGTGTTTAGAAAGTGACTCTGCCTGGGACATGGTGAAGGGTAAAAGTGGGAGCACGGATGCATTTTCCAAGGCAAGAGCTGATGGTGACTTAACTAAAATGGGTCAGGGAACAGAGGTTATCAACACGTTTGGGACATGTTTTCAAAATATAACCGATGGAACTTGCTCTTGGCTTAGTTAAGGGAAAGTAGGTGAGAGGACTCGAGGTGACTCCCAGGTTTTGGCTCCGGCAACTAGGTGAGAAGTGATGGCATTTACTGTGATTTTAAGGCTGGGAGAAGAACAGGTTTCAGAGCAGGAAATTATCAAGAGTTCCAACTTGGAAGTACTGAGATGCTCAAGAGACCTCCAACTAGAGGTGTAGAATAAATAGTTGCATATACAAATCTGTGGCTCAGGGGAGAGGTACAGACTAGAGATATAAATTTCGGAATCACCAGCACATAAACTATATTTAAAGCAATGAAACTAGATTTAATCACCTAACAGTGTATCTAAAGAAGACAAAAGAAGAAGGTCCAGGAAGGAACCAAGAGGAATAATGTTTCTCAATCTCAGCACTACTGACATTTGGGCCAGATATTATTTGTTGAGGGTGAGGGCTGTGCCATGCATTGTAGGATGTCCAGCAGCATCCCTGGCCTCTACCCACTGGATGCCAGCAGACTCCCTCTATGCCGCCCAACTGTGACAACCTCAAAAGCATCTCTACTTATTGCTAAATGTTCCCAAGGAGTGGAATGGCCTCTGATTGAAAACTGCTGATTTGGAAGTAAGATGGGGAGCAGTAGCAGGAAGGGAGCTGATCAGGAGTGGCCAGTGAGGGAGGAGGAAAACTAAAAACATGTGGTAGCTCGAAGAGCCAGGGTTGCCTGGAGAGAGGAGTCAGCTGGATCAAGGGCTGTAAGAAGGAACAAGAGGAAATCAGAGAAACATCGAACCTGAAATGTGCTGGTATGTGCATAAGAGCAGTCTCAGAGTTTGGAAGCCGGAGGGAAGAGGAGGGAATTGAATGGGAGAAGAGGAAGGAGACAGAGCTATGGCAGTTGTACTGCAGAGGGAGAGGGAATAAAGAGATGAGGATGTTTTTTCTCGGAAAGTGTTTGTGTGCCAGAACAATCCCCAAGAGGGAAAGACGATGCAAGGGAGGGAAAAGCTGATTGAGGGAAGTCGTGAGAAGTCAGGGACCACGCCTGAGCTGTAAGGTTCAAGATCTTGTAGTGGGAAGATGAGGAAATTCCCTTTGGGTGGCTTCTATTTCATAACTTATGTAACAAGATCATTGGCTAAAACGGGGTTGGGGTGTTGAGGGAGTATCTGTCTCAGATTGGGAAGGACAAGTTACTAAAGGAATAGAGTCGACTCGCTGGGCTGTGCTCTAGTTGGAGGGCTCTTGAGCAGGTCTGAGGTTTGTGGTAGTGCTTTCAACCCCATGGCTGTGCTCAAGTGCAGGTGTGTAGTGGGGTCACCTGGCTTTGGGCTCTCCAGCCAGGCATGAGGAGGGCAGATGCAAAGGAGCTGTGGCAAGTGTTTGTGCCAGAGTGATGAGGATAACAGGAGCGTGCCAGGAAGTGAAAATGTAATGGGGTCGATACACAAACAATCTCAACAAAACAGGAATTACTGAAGCAGGGCGCTAGGAGAGGAGGTGGGGGTCGGAGAGTGGGATGCCGAGAATTCTGGTTATAGAAACTCCTATGAGAAACCTCTGCCTCCCAGCGTGGGGTGTCAGTGAGGAGGGGCACCCATGGGGAAGGGAAGAAAGCTCGCTGCTGCAGGGGTTGTTCAAATAAGGGCCTATAAGGAGGATAATGAGAGTCTCCCCTGGGCCAGAACTTGCACAGGCACTGAGGTTTCGATGGGAGCAAGACAGACAAGGCTCCAGACCCCAACAGAATGCTCAAGATACTTTTGCCGGACTTCCAGTCAAGATGGCGGGTAGGTAAACACGGTATCACCTCCTCCCACAACCACATCAAAGTTACAACTAAACTACAGAACAACCACCATTCAAAACTGCCTGAAATCAAGCTGAATGGAAGTCCTACAACTATGGAATTAAAGCAGCAGCCACATCCAGACTGGTTGGAGGGGCGGTGGCAGCGCGAGGACCGGTGGCACGACGGGACACCCACGTGTGGTGGATAAAAATCAGGAGGACCCCTCGGCTGGGAAGGTCCCTCCTGAGGACTGAGGGGCCCCTGTCCCACACCAGATGCCCCGCTCAGGGTTCCAGTGCCAGGAAGAGAAGTCCCCATAACTTCTGGCTGGAAAAACCAGCGGGAACTGAGGCTCAGGGAAGCTGAAGCGGCTGGAGCCCCAGGCAGCTCCTTAAAGGGCCCGCGCACGGACTTATCGGACTCTCTCCCTCTAAGCTTGGAGGGGAGGCAGCTCGAGGGGCGCCAGAGACATACAGGGAAGAGCTGAGCTGTTTGGCACTGGAGCGAGGGCTGGAGAGGGGGCTTTCTCGGGGACAAACATGCTGTCAGAGGCCTTTGTTCCTTTGGTGAGCCTTTCTCTGGGGCGGCAGACAGCCGCCATATCTGGGACTCCAGCAACCTGGCTCACACTGGTAGCCCCGCCCTGGTGACCCCCTGAGGCCCTGCCCCACCCCACCCCACCCAACTTTCAGGCCCACCCAAGCTGTTGCCAGTTGCTTAACCATAGGATTGGCCTGTCTTGGATCCTGCTTCAGGTATTTCCTAAATTCTTTGAAACGAGCAGCATCTGGTCTTAGCTAGCCCCATACCGCTCGTTAAGTAATACACTGAAACAAACACAGGGAGGCAGCCAAAATGAGAATACAAAGAAACAGGTCCCAAATGAAAGAACAGAACAAAACCCCAAGAAAAGAACTAAGCAAAATGGAGATAAGCAGCCTAACAGATGCTGAGTTCAAAATACTGCTTATAAGGATGCTCAATGAACTCAGTGAGAGAACCTCAGTGAACTTAGTGAGGGCCTCAAGAGCATAAAAAAGGACCAGTCAGAATTGAAGGAGGCATTAACTGAAATAAAGAATAATTTACACAGCTTCAATACTAGAGTACGTAAATACAAGAAGCAAACCATCGATTTGGAATATAAGGAAGCAAAAAACGCCCAATCAGAACAGCAAAAAGAAAAAAGAATCCCAAAAACTGAGGATAGTGTAAGGAGCCTCTGGGACAACTTCAAGTGTGCCAACATTCGCATCTTGGGGGTGCCAGAAGGAGAAGAGAGAGAACAAGAAATCGAAAACCTGTTTGAAACAATAATGGCAGAAAACTTTCCTAACTTGGTGAAGGAAACAGACATACAAGTCCAGGAAGCACAGAGAGTCCCAAACAAGATGAACCCTAAGAGGCCCACAACAAGACACATCATCATCAAAATGCAAAAGGTTCAAGACAAAGAGAGAATCCTAAAAGCAGCAAGAGAAAGGCAGCTAGTTACCTACAAGGGAGTACCCATAAGGCTGTCAGCTGATTTCTCAAAAGAAACTTTGCAGGCCAGAAGGGAGTGGCAAGAAATATTCAGAGTGATGAAAAGCAAGAACCTACAACCAAGATTACTCTATCATGCAAAGCTGTTATTTAGAATCGATGGCCATATAAAGACTTTCCCAGACAAGAAAAAGTTAAAGGAGTTCATCACCACCCAACCGTTATTATATGAAATGATGAAGGGTCTTTTTGAAGAAAAAGATAAAATATATGAACAAACAAAATGGCAATGAATACATATCTATCAACAATGGAATCTACAAACAAAATGAACACGTAGATCAGAAACATTCTCATAGATACAGAGAACATTTTGTTGGTTGCCAGATGGGAAGGGGGTTGGGGGAATGGGTGAAAAAGGTGAAGAGATTAAGAAGTACAAATTCATTGCTAGACTGACAAACCTCAAAGGGAAAGGGGTTGGGGGTGGGAAGAAATAAATCAAAGAACTTATATGCATAACCAGTGGACACAGACAATAGTGTGGGAAAAGGCAGGAGGGGGGCGGGAGTGGGGAGGAGGGAGTCAATGGGGGAAAAATGTGGAACATCTGTAATACATTCTACATTCAACAATAAAGATTAAAAATAAATAAAAATTTTTAAAAAGTCAATAAAAATATATATAAAAAAAGATGAAATTGACATAGAAAGCATAGAAAAGAGATAAAAAGCAAGCCAGGCCTTTTGTGATGTGGTTGAGTCACTATGTATATCCATCCTCACCTGAAATCTATCCAGAGACTGTTCAGTTACATGAGCCAATAAACTCCCCTTTATTGTTTACAAAAAAAAAAAAAGATACTTTTGCCATGACAGCAAGTTTCAGCCAAAGACACACACAAAAAAATCAATTAACAGTATTTTAGTCACACTTTAATGAACAAAACGACATTCCTCACAGTTAGTACCCACATTATTAAGTCCCGTATTTGGATAGGCATCATCTGTAGAACTCCCTAAAATCATGTCTATCCTCCTACAACAACGATTTGCCACCATCAGAGCTACTCAAAAACATATCCTTCAAGGTAAAAAGCAATTCCAAAAAAATAAATTAAAAAATGTTCCAAGTGAGCCCTGGCCAGTTTGGCTCAGCGGTTAGAGCGTTGGCCCACGGACTGGCGAGTCCCAGTTTGGTTCCCGCTAAGGGCATGTGCCTTGGTTGCAGTTTGTCCCTAGCCCCGGTTGGGGTTGTTGTGTGGGTGGCAACCAGCTGATGTGTTTCTCCCACATCAATGTTTCACTCTCTCTCTCTCTCTCCCTCCCGCTCTATCTGAAGATAAATGCAAAAAAAAAAAAAAAAGTTCCAAGTGAGCTGGCCAGTGTGGCTCAGTGGACTGAGCATCATTCCATGGACTGAGAGGTTCCTGGGTTGATTCTGGGTCAGGGCACATGCCCCGACGGTGGGCTCGATCCCCAGTGGTGGGTGTATGGGAGGCTGCCCATCGATGTCTCTCTCCCATCGATGTCTGTCTGTCTCTCTCTCTCTCTCTCTCTCTCTCTCGCTCTCCCTTCCTTTCTCTCTAAAAAAATCAATAAAAACAAATTAAAAAGAAAAGTTCCAAGTGATTCCAATAACATGGAACAAGTTAGCGGTAACTTCTTTGAAGGGGCTCGATTAACTACTAAGTCTTCTTCTCTACGTACATCCCTTCATGGTTATTCCTTCATATCCTAATGCTTTTAATGCCATCCCAAATTTATATTCCCCACCCCAAGACCTTGCCCCAAATGCTGGACTTGTACATCCAACCAACTGCCTGTGTGATGTCTCCATGTAGACATCTAAACGGTCTTGATATGTCCACCTCACAAACCACAAAATCTGTTCCTTCCCACCTTCTCTGTATCAGGTAATGACAATCCTATTCTTCCTGTTACCCAGACCAAGAACCTTGAAGTCACCTCATTCCCTTATATTCCACCTCCAATCTGCTGGGAAACCCTATTAGCTCTACCTTTAAAATACGACTGAATCCCATGATTCCTCATTACATCCACTGCTAACCTTTGTCAAGCTGTGACCACCTCTCACCTGCAAGGCCTAACCCATCTTCCACCCTTGCTATGCTTAGTCTACTCTCCACGCAGACCAACCACCTCACTCCTGCACTCAGATTGCTCTGGCGGCTCTCCATGTCCTGCCAGGCCCCAAAGGACCGGCCACCACAGGTTCTTCAACTCTGTGTGCCACCTCTCCTTCTCATCCTACCCTCTGGGCACCCTGGCTCCTTCCTGGTCTCCAGACAACCAAGCAAGTTTATCCTAGGGCCTCTACTGATACCCATTTTTCCTACAGGAACATCTTTTCCCCAAATATCCACACAGCTCACCTTCAGATGGTTCCAGCCACCTAGACTAACAGGCCTGCCACCTGCCCTGCTTTGTCTTCACAGCACATGTCAGGAACATATTTTATTACACACAGCTACTTATTTTCTTAATTGTCTGACTCCGCAACTAGAAAGCAAGCTTCAAGGGTCTTTGTTTCATTCACTGTCGCACCCCTAACAACCACGACAATGAATGAATGAATTTTTAAAAGAACCAGTTACCTTGTTTTATGGTTTAACGTTATATAAATGCCTGTCCCTTCTCCCTTCTTCCTTTTTTTTTTTTTTTTAAATCCTCACCACATTTTCCCATTTATCTTTAGATAGAGTGGGAGGCAGGGAGGGAGGGAAAGAGAGAGAGAGAAACATCGATGTGAGAGAGACACATCGACTGGTTGCCTCCTGCATGACCCCAACCATGGCTAGGGACTGAACCTCAACTGGGGTATGTGCCCTTGACCAGAATCGAACCCTTGACCCTTTGGTCTGCAGGTCAATGCTCTAATCACTGAGCCAAACTGGCCAGGGCACTGTAGCACAATTTCTATTGTTTTTATATTATTCTACATAAATATATAATTCTGCAGTTGAAAACAGTATATTCAACAATTGTATAGTTTGCTTTTTTTCACTTATCATCCTAAATTTTTCACATTGCTGCCAGATTCCTAACTACACTTAAATGGTTACAGAATATTCTATCAAGTGGTTGAAACATAATTTAATTAAACATCCCACTACAGTTATTATTTCTAGTTTTCTATTACTATAAAAAAAAAAGCAAAGCAAAGTACCCCTTTAAGCATTAGCTTTTTTCCCTCCACTGGATTATTTTATTAGCCAAAGCCCCAGCTGTGAGGTCACTGAGCTCATACTGCCAAGCTGCCTTTCCACAGGCCACGTCATTAGCACTGGATGGTGACACGAACTCACTCTCTTCACGGCTCCTTCCCCAACACGCTTCAGCGGCCTCACGTCTGTCCTCAGCTCCTCACAGGACAGCCATGCTGAGCAGTTGTTCATCTGTCCCACTCTGAAGTACCCATAGGGACAGTGGCGGGGGTCCAGGGAGGAGCGCGGAGTGGAGATGAAGAGCCGGTCGAGGCAGAGGTAGAGGAGCGCGTTCATGAGGGCCATGGCCAGCAGCAGCCCCACCACGGGGGGCACTTCTCTGCGGGGGGGACCCTTTCTACCATCCAGGGGCTTCTTTTCCATGTTGTTATCCTCTGCAATTTCCTGAAATGTGAAATGAAACAATAAGTCGCTTTTTATTTCCATTAAAGTGTTTGATGGTCAGGGACTGAGGTGACACACCCTCTATGCTTCTCATACTCAAGGGTCCGGCACTCTAGTGTCGCTGTGAGGGTGGAAGGACTGAATGCTAGGCTCATCCTGAATGGTCAATGTCAGCTGCTCTCACAATGAGTATTTTTTATTAAACCACAGGCTGGGCTCCTCTGTTTCAGATTCAACAAGGAGGGAGGTGTTAGTGTGCGTCTGTTTGTCTCTGATTCTCCTATCATGTTTGCACTAAGTTGATGTTCAATGACAAGTCATTCAAATGAAAGCAAAGTGTGGATGTTGGTCCAGTGAGCAGAGACAGAAGATGGACAAAGGAGAGCAGTACATATTCCTGGGGGAGGGGTGCAGCTGTGGGGCTGGGGCTGGAATGCTCTTGAACCCAGTTAAGGAACTGGGATGTTTTTTGGAATGTACTCAAATGCTCCTTAATGTTTTTAAGCAACAAAGGCTACTCTTTAGCAGGTGTGAAAGGTGCATTTAGGGTGGTAGGGACTGGGCTGGGGGACTGCTTAGGCCCTGGCAATAACCTGGGACAAGAACTGACCATTGTGTGAGCTAGAATAATGGCGATAAGAATTGAGAAAGGATGATGCAGAGATGGACCTCACACTAAGGAACCACTTAAGGCGTGGTCACTCACCAAACGAATGCACTGGAGCCGATGTGAGGACTGTGGGGAAGGCAGGCCTTACAGCTTTAATTGTTGGATAGTGGAGGGGTTGGGAGGGGAGAAAACCAGGAAAGGACCCTGGATATCTGACAGGGTGCCTGAGGCAGAGGCTATTCATGAACCAGAATGGAATTGTGTCAATACCTAGACAAGGGATATGGACATACCAGTGTGTGCCCAAGTATCAGCACTGGGATGCATGGGGGACATTAGTGACAGAACAGACCCTATACTTGTTGGGTCTGAGATGCTTGTGACATAAAGTGTTACCTTCTAGGAACGCCTTCCTTCTGCCAGTTCAGGTCTGCATCCAGATACCCGGGTCAGTCAGTGTTCTGGTGGGCCCCAGGCACTGGTTTGAAAGCACTCTGCCACAAAGCACCAAAAGGTTTGTTAAATGAAAATTGCAACTCTGCACACGGACAAATGGCAACAGTACAATGGTTCATCTACCCCGTGGGTCCTCCTTGTGTCTGGGTGTCCCTCAGGCTCTCGATACACAGGATGGTGCAGCAGCTGCAGGAAGTCCTCCTGCAGCCCAGCAGCTGTCACTGAAGCCCTGTCAGCTTGTCTGCAGATGATGCTCAACATCTGTGTGAACCTTGTAGTCTCCCAGGAAACCAGACTCTGGGGTCCACTTTGCAAACCAGATCAGAACTTGACCTCTTTACAGAGAACCTAGCTTGCCTTTGAGCCCATCAAAATAAAGCTTCATTTCAATTGTGCCTAAGTCACCTGTCCCCCCAAATTCTGTAACAACTCCCTCTTTCCCTCTGATTGAGTCACCAGGTTCTAAAGCCATGAAGGCTCTCTCAGTGCAATGGGTCCATGAACCTGACAGTCGTTCCTGTGGCCTAGGTCCCCTTCTCTTCTACTGGATCACCTCCACCCCTCCCATCTCCCAGCTGATGATTGTCTTTCCTATATTCCTGAAAAGACAGAAGCAATCAGAGAGCACTGCTACAAGTCCCTAGCACCACACTGCAGGCTCCTGCTCCCTGTACCTTCCCTCTATGAACAAAGTGGGCCTGCTCCCGGCTCTGTGCTGGTGCACAGATCCCTCCCTCCCCACCTGCTCAAGGGCACTGCCCCAGCAGGTCTCCCCTCTTCTCCGGAATCATGACCAGTATGCCCTAACTTTCCCATCATTTCAAACACCCTCACTTCACCCTACTGCCCCTCCAGTTATTGCCTCATTTCTCTTTTCCATAGATGGTTAAAAAACTATCTACACTCTCTAACTTCATATCTCTACTCCATTTCTCTTGAACTCACTGCTACCCCACCCACACTGACCCTATCAAGGTGATCTCCACACTGGTAAACACAACAGTCAAGTCACAGCCCTGGCCTTGACCTCTGGGCAGCATCTGGCATGGCTGATCACACCCTCTTCCTTCAAAGGCTTTCTTTACTTGGTTCCCAGGAAAATTCATTCTGGTGGCTCTTCCAGTCTCTGACTGTAAATGCTGGAGTGCCCCAGGGCTCAGACTTGACTTCACTCCCTCCCTGGGTGATCCATCCAGACTCATCCCTCTCCATCTCACCTGCTGACAGCTCCCAAACGTCCAGCCTGCTCAAAAATATATCTCCTTGACAAAAAATATAATAACTCAATTTAAAAATGGGCAAGGAACTTGAGTAGACATTTCTCCAAAGAAGACATACAGATGGCCAACAGGCACATGAAAAGATGCTCAACTTTATTAGTCATCAGGGAAAATCCCACCATACATCCACTAGGATAGCTGTAATTAAAAAGTCAAGACAATAACAAGTGTTGACAAGGATGTGGAGAAATAGGAACCCTCAAACATTGCTGGTGGGAATGTAAAATGGTGTAGTCACTGTTGGAAAACAGTCTGGCAGGCCCTTAAAAGGTTAAACAAGAAGTTACCATATGGCCCTGGCCAGTTTGGTTCAGTGGTTATAGTGTCGGTCTAACCGAAGGGTCCTGGATTGAATTCCCAGTCAAGGGTACATACCTGGGTTGCAGTTTTGATTCTCAGCCCTAGTTGAGGCATGTGTGGCAGGCAACCAATCAATGGGTCTCTCTCATATCAATGTTTTTCTCTCTCTCTCTCTCTCTCTCTCTCTCTCTCTCTCTCTCCACCCCTGCCTTCCACTCTCTCTAAAAATCAATGGAAAAAATATCCTCGTGTGAGAATTAACAACAACAAAAATAGCTGCCATATCACCCAGTGAATCCACTGCTAGGTATATACCCAAGAAAACATATATTCATATAAACACGTGTAGATGAATGTTCACAGCATTGTTATTCATAATAGCCAAAGAATGGAATAACCCAAACATCCACATAGCATATGATTCCATTTATATGAATTGTCCAGAACAGGCAAATCCATACAGACAGAAAGCAGATTACTGGTGGCTAGGGGCTGGGTGAAACAGGAAATGAGGAGTGGCTGCTAATGGGTACAGGATTTCTTTTTGGATGAAAATGTTCAAGAAGTTGTAGTAATGGTTGTGAGTACACTAAAAATCACTAATTGTACACTTTAAAATAACAAATTTCATGGTTTGTGAATATCTCAACTTTAAAAGATAAATATACTTCCCAAACTCAGTACCTGTTCTTTCCCTCCCAAATCGCTGTTCTCACAGTGTTCACAGTCTCGGCAAGTGACCATTCTATCCTTCCAGTTACCCCGGTCAGGGAAGCTGCAGGTCAAGGGGAAGCACAATGACACTGCTCCTCTCTAAGCAGGAAATTTTAGAAATAGTGGACTCTTCTACAATTCCAGGTGCTTTCCCTAATTATTTAAAGAAAAGGTGACTTTGCTTATTCCTGCTGTCATTAAGAGGTACCCGGTAAACCCAGGCTCTATGAACTGCTCCAGCATCACTCGACACCTTCTTCTTTTTTTTTTTGGTACGTGCCCCTAGCGGGAACTGAACCCGGGACTCTCTAGTCCACAGGCCGACGCTGCAACCGCTGAGCCAAACCGGCCAGGGCCCCTCCTCTTCTTGAAATGATGCCACCTGCTCTCCCCACTGCCTCCGTCTTCCCAGCTACATCCGGTAATGTTCTGACGGTTGCTTGCTCCCCTTTCTCATAAGACTGCAGGCCCAGATCTTTCTCTCCGGCCCATTCTGTCATCTTCAGGGACTTTAACTGAAACTATGATGACTTTTACCACTCAGGCCTCACAGTCTCTTGAGCTTCTTCCACCAGTCCTGCTCCTTAGAAGGTGCTCTGAATAAAACAACTGCCATCTTTCTTCTATAACATTTAAAGTTGACCAAGTGTGTCTCACTGACCTGATGAAATCAAGCAATAGTGTTGTCACGATTCTACATGCTTACAGTGACTCCATTCTCCTAGCCAATCCATGTTCCCCAGGCTAGACTGACAGGCAAGCACCTTCTCTATGTCACCCCAACAGAATCTCTGCCCTTCAGACCCTGATCTCCTAGCAGGGCCTCAACCCCTCACTTTTCTGTAGAGTTTCCTTCCCTTGTCCCCCACCCCCACCCCCACCCCCACCCCACCCCTCTCTCTCTCAATAATAATTTAAAATACGGGGTCTAAAGCCACATATTACTCTACATACTCAAATATCATTTTGAAAAAAACACCTAGTAAAATAAGCCACAAAGGCCCTGGCCGGTTTGGCTCAGCGGTTAGAGCATTGGCCTGCAGTCTTGAGAGACCCAGGTTCGGTTCCCGCTAAGGGCATGTACCTCGGTTGCAGTTTGTCCCCGACCCCTGTTGGAGTCGTGTGGGTGGCAACTACTCGATGTGTCTCTCTCACATTGATGTTTATCTCTCTCTCTCTCTTCCTCTCTCTCCCTCCCAATCTATCTGAACAAAAAATGGAAAAATGTCCTCGGGTGAGGATAAAATAAAAAAAATAAAAATTAAAAAAAAAATAAGCCACAAAGAATGAATTCAGAGTGATCTGTCAAAATCAGATGGCTGGGAGATGTTAGGTCAGGGACTTGCAAACCTTTTTCTGTAAAGGTCCAGATAGTAAATACATAGGTTTACGTGCGAGAAGTTGAAATTGAGTTGAGGGGCCCGAAGCTGAGACTGAGTGCAGTACACCAAGCAGAAGTGCAAAGGGATGACAGCCACGTATTGTCTGTCAGTTACTCAACTCTGTCACCAGAACGCAGGAGCAACCCCAAACACTACATAAACAAATGTGCAGGGCTTTATTATAATAAAGCTTTACTTATGGACACTGAAATTTGAATTTCATATAATTTTTGTGTGTCACAAAAGACTGTTTTATTCTTTTGCTTTTCCCTTCCAATATTTGAAAAGCTTTTTTTAAAAAGGCATTCTTAGCTCACAGGCCATACAGAAACAGGTTGGCGGGCAGTAGCTGGCCAAGCCCTGCCGTGGTGATGACACTTCTCTGGGACTGTTGCAGGCCATATTTTCATTCTGTGCATTCCCTCTATGTAATCTCACCCCAAACATGGCTTTAATGGCCACATAAACCCTGATTTCCAAGTCTACTGTGGCCCAGATCTTTCCCTATGCTTCACTCAGCTGGCTCCTCAAGGTCTGGGATATGTCTCTCCTATCCCCAGCATGACCCTTCTCCAGGGTTCCCTCTCTGTGACAGCCACACAACACACTGGCTCACTCAAGTCACAAAACAGGTGACTTGATTCCTCTCTTCCCTAAACTCTAAACCAACCAATCACCACATATAGTCAATTCTATCACCCAAATATCTCTCAAATATGTTCACTTCTCCCTTCCTTGCTCCCCACCCTAGTCTAAGCCACCAGCATCTCTTACTTGGGTTTCTGCAACAGCTTCCTCCATGGTCTCCTACTTTCTCTTTTCCAATCCATTCTCCACACAGCAAATAGGATCTTTTTTTCTTTACTAAATATTTCAAGCACAGAGAAAAAAAAAAAAAAGATCATGAACATCCATTCAGCTTTGTCAGGTAACACTGCATCATATATATATATTTTTAAATACGTTTTTACTACCCAGCAGGTGTGGCTCAGTGGTTGAGCGTCAACCCATGCACCCAGAGATTGCCGGTTCAATTCCTGGTCAGGGCACTTGCCAGGTAGTGGGCCCAATCCCCTGTGGGGGGGCATGCAGGAGGCGGCCAATCGATGTTCTCTCTCATCAATGTTTCTCTCTCTCTTCCTCCCTCTCTCTCTAAAAAAATCACTAAAAAGAAAAAAATATTTTTAAAAATGTTTTTACTGATTTTTTAGAGAGAAATAGAAACATAGGTGTGAGAAACATTGATAGACTGCCTCCTACACACCCCCTACTACAGATCTAGTCCAAAACCTGGGCCTGTGTCCTGACTGGGAATTGAGCCAGGACTTCAGTCCATGCATGGGACCACGCTCAATCCATGTAGCTACACCAGCCAGGTGATATTTTTAAGATATATACTTTTTAATCCTCACCTGAGGATATGTTTCTACCGATTTTTACAGAGAGAGAGAGAGAGAGAGAGAGAGAGAGAAACCTTAATGTGAGAGGGAAACATACATCAGTTGCCTCCTGTACATGCCCTAACTGGGGAAAGAACCTGCAACCAAAGTACAGGTCCTTGACAGGGACTCGAACCCATCACGCTTCCGTTTGGGCCGAAGCTCTAGCCGCTGGACCACATCAGCTGGTCGGGCTTTTTTCTTTTAAAGGCGTATTTCTGGAGTAGGCTGCAGGGAGCCTGGGATAAGGCCATGTGGCTGAAGGAACTTTCTTGCCCAGAAATAAGCAGAGACACTGAATGTTATTAACATTCAATACCCAGTAAGTTAAGGTATAACGATCGTGGGGCCAACCGGGCAAGAGAAATTCAGGCACTGTTTAGACACAAAGATTCCTGGCAGTGATAGGAAAAAGCTGATAAACTGATAAAAGATTGGGAACCACTGCTCTACACTCACAGCTTAAAGTTTTTTAAAGAGCAAAGCAATGGAACAAAATTAGTTTTTGCCAACGTATAGAATATTTTATACAACCAGAGAAGAAACGGTTGAGTGTCACCTACAATTTAGGCTGGAACCCCACTGAAACACTCGTTTTAAGTATTCCAGAAGCTGACTCAGCCTCAGGGTTCCACAGCAAAGACAAGGGATGGAGAAGAAGGACTGCTAAATAAAATGGCTAACGTGCTTGTTTAAAAAGAGCAGCATCGTTTGCACCGAACACAGACCCTGCACCCAGAGCCGGCCAGCAGCGCGGGCACGAAGGGCCGGGCCTGTTGTGTAATGCTCGGCGCGGGCCGGGCAGGACGCGAAGGGGCCCCGCGGGTGGACGCTGGCGCCCGGGGCCAGCGTGGCCTCCGGCTGGACTCCGGGAGCGCCGCCCAAGAGGCGCGGCGGGGGATGCCGGGATCTGGGCTTGGGAGACGCGGCCCGGGCCCGGCCCCGCAGTAGGCCGAGCCGCCTTCCGCGACCGCCGCGCGGCTGGCCATAGCCCTCCATACAGGAGGCCAATCCCTACCCCGTCCCGCCTCACCTACCTGCGGCCCGCGGCCGTGCACGTGGCCTCCTGCGCCTGCGCGGCCGGAAACGAGCCCCGGCAGGGCGAGCGCGACGCTGCCCTCTGGTGCCCCCCGCTGGAGGCCCGACGCTGCAACGCAAAGTCCGAGTTTGAGCGCCTCGCAGACTCCAGCTCAGGTGCACCGACCGGTCAGTCTCCTATTATGGCTTCTTTTCTACAAGCGTACGAGGACGATGATGTGCTGACCAAGCACTGTTTTACTCCAGATGCCCAGCCTGATGCTTGGTACGGTGGAGAGGGTCCCGGTCAATGCAAACCGGTGGTTTACAAAGGGTGGTCCTCAGACCAAATGCTCACGCTTCAGATCTGCAGGGAAACTGTTAGACGTGCACTTTTTCGACTCCATCCCAGACCTAGAGGGTGGAGTCTATCAATCTGTGCTTAGCCAGGCCTCTGGGCGATGATGAAGCCCTGAAGGTTGAGAATCACTGGTGGAAGAGCAAGTCAGAGGCTTCGCCCAGAGCAGAAAAGCTGAACTTCACGCATTCAAGGGCCCCAAAGGAGCAGCACTGAAATGGGAAGCTGGAAGGCTCAACGCGTCACACTGGCGTTTGTACCTGGTGGAAATGCAGGAGGAAAGGTTGCGACATTGAAAGCATAGCATAGGATTATATAGCTTTTTGTTTAAATCAGAAGTGTTGTCTTCTACAATGACACATTTTCCAAGTTTGGAATCAAGAGACTAACAATTTGGTTAAAAAACTGAGCCTGTGCTGGTAATCCAAACAATGAAAATTTAAAATAGCTAGAAGCTACTTGCCTTTCACACTGGCAAATAGCAAAAAGAATGATAATGCCTACTGTTGATGTACAGAATCTAAATGTTTCCCTACACATGCAATTCCACCTGTGTATAAAGGGCCCTCGAAAATCCCCTTTCTAGGAATTTACCATGACATAGTAATTGAATACATGTGTAAGATGAATGTGCAAGAGATCTCACTGGAGTGCTGTTGATAAAGGATGTTTATAGTAGGAAAAAGAAACTTAAATGTTTAATAGTAGTATTTTCTGAAAGACATTATATCCACGCAACCATTAAAAATGTTGCAGTAGCCCTGACTGGTTGCTCAATGGTTAGTGCTAGTGCCATGGACAGTTTGGTTCTTGGGTTTGATTTCTGGTACCTGGGTTGCAGGTTTGATGCCCTGCCCTGGTTGGGGTGGTGCAGGGGGCAACCAATCCACGTCTCTCTCACATCCATGTTTCTCTTGCTCTCCCCCCACCCCCTTCCACTCTATCTAAAAAACCAACAACAAAAAAAAGGATGTGGTATAATGGGTAACAGAGTTTCAGTTTGAGAAGATGAAAATGTTCAGGAGATGGATAATGGTGATAGTTGCATAACAATGTGAATGTACATGATGCCACTTAAAAACGGTTAAAATGGCCAGTTTAGTCCGGCCCGTGTGGCTTAGTGGACTGAGCATCATCCCATGAACTGAAAGGTCCCAGTTTGATTCTCAGTCAAGGCACATGCCTGGTTTGTAGGCTCGATCCCCAGTGGGGGATGTGCAGGAAGAAGCCAATCCATGTTTCTCTCTCACATCAATGTTTCTCTTTCTCCCTTCCCCTCTTTCTCTTAAAAAAAATAAAAAAAAAAATCAATATAAAAATATTAAAAGCTAATAAGGCAACAAGCAAGAAGGTGCCTTGTGAACCTGAAAGCAAACCAATTCTTTAAAAAAAATTATATTTTGTTGATGACAGCCACTATATATGGAATAGAATTTTGGGCAATATAAATTTTCTCTGTGTTTATATGTTTCTTAATGTTTACATAATTAACATGTATTACTTCATATGTATGTACATACATGAAAGATGAGCCTGGTATCAATATGTGATATGTATTAGAGGATCCTGAAACAAGCCTATTAAATAATAATTTTTTAGAAGAATGTAAAAGAAAATGGGTGAGTTATGAGAAACTTTGAACATGAGAAATCTGAATGGAAAAATAATCAGGAATTAGCTAACAAGACAGGAAACTAAGAAAAGAAATGAATAAAATTAAGTGCAGTCAGTTTTGCTGTAATACATTTAAAAAATGTGTTTTGCCCTGACAGGTGTTGCTCAGTGGTTAGAGCACTGGCCTGTGCACTGAAGGGTCTCAGGTTGAATTCCAGGTCAAGGGCACACACCTGGGTTGTAGGTTTGATCCCTGGCCCCCATTGGGGCATGTGCGGGTGGCAACCAATTGATGTATCTCTCATATCAATCTTTCTCTCCCCCCACCTCTCACTCTCTAAAACCCAGTGGAAAAAAATATCCTTGAGTGAGGATAGACACAAAAAAAGGTGTTTCAATATGATTGATGTATTGTGAAATCATTTGAGCACTTGCACAAATTTCCTATTTGTTTATGTGTGATTTCATCCTGGACAAACACTAGGTAAATGCAAAACATTGTACCATCTGAGCTACATTGCATAGGAATGATTAAAACACACACATGCACTCTCCTCAATGTCTACCAGTGTCTTCATTTCATCGAATGAGTTTGGGCCATACTCATCCACATCTGGTGTTGCAACTTTCTGATCTATTTCAGAAAACCCTCTCTCTACCACTTCACAATAACTCACAAGCTGCAACCCTTCTGATGCCCACTTCCACAAGCAAGCTTCAGGTGTTTTTCAAGGTAAAAGCCATAGTGTAAAACTATGCGGCCGTTTGATTGAAGTCTTGTCTTTTTTTTTTACTGATAAAGTTTCTGAATTTTGTCTCTAACCCCATTTTAACCATTAGCCCCCTGGTTTTATTCGTGATTTTGCATGGCATGGTGATATAGGAACACAGCATCACGTTCTAGCAGAACTGACTGAACAGGTGTTTTAGGTGGGTTTCAGGTGGAAGAACAGTAGCATCATTAACAGAGCAAACAGAGTAGGGAGAAGATATTTTTAAGTTTGAAATGGAGTGGTAGTCCAAGTTAACATGTAGCAGGACTTTACATCTCTGTGAGTGGGCAGTAATAAAGATTCCTGGCCCTGGCCGGTTTGGCTCAGCGGTTAGAGCGTTGGCCTGCGGTCCTGAGACACCCGGGTTCGGTTCCCGCTAAGGGCGCGTACCTCGGTTGCAGTTTGTCCCTGGCCCTGGTCGGTTGTGCAGGTGGCAGCCACTCGATGTGTTCCTTTCACATCGATGTTTCTCTCTCTCTCTGTTCCTCTCTCTCCCTCCCACTCTACCTGAACAAAAAATGGAAAAACGTCCTCTGGTGAGGATAAAAAAAAAAACAAAAAAACCCACAAGATTCCTGTATACAGGAATTATCTCAAAGGATCCTGCGATGCTCCAGACATCCTTTTTTGGAAGAGAGCCAAATATGAGCTCTTGGAAACTTT